ACATGGACAGGAAGGTAAAGAGTAAGGGCAGGCACATTTTTGTGGGAGAATTAATGAAAGTAAGTTAACATAAAATCTGTTCAGTTGATTTATTTCTTCATTCAACTAATATTTATCATGCTCCCACTCTATGTCAAGTACTGTCCTGTCTACTGGGCATACAACAGTGAGAAAAACCAAATACAGACTACTGTCATTGGTAAAGACCTATGCCTTATACAACTTGCATAAATATAGAGATGAAAACGGTTCATGTACAACAATTTCAGGTGGGCGCCTGGGTGGCTCAGTTGGTTAATTTACTGCCTTAGGCTCAGGTCATGATCCTGGAGTCCTGGGATGGAGTCCTGCATCGGGCTCCCTGCTTGGCAGGGAGTCTGCTTCTCCCTCTGACCCTCCCCCCCTCATGCTCTCTCTTTCTCAAATAAATAAATAAAATCTTTAAAAAAAATAACTTCAGGTAAGTATTGAGATAGTAATAAACCAATGGCATTTTCATAGAGCCCAGTGGAAGGTCATTTCTGCTGGTAGCTGATATAGGGGTTAACACTGATAGTGTAGTGAAACATAATTATGTTTATGGTCTTTCTAGATGTCAAAGAACCAAAGCTTGGATTGGAATTTCTGGTAAATTTCATGTTTCATAACTCATAATATGTGACCTAATGTAGCTTCTCAGAACAGATGCATTACTCCATTGCATTGATGAACATTTGGTCATTTTCAGGAGAAAGAAAAGAATGCCTAATTTAAATTCGTCCAATTTGATTTGGTATTACTCTGATCCCAGCCTGGCTCTGGTATAATCACACCCTCCGAGCCTTGGCTATACCACATGTGAGGTTAAGAGCAATTGCCTACCCTAAATCTATGCCATGAACCTTACTTATTTCCACATTAATATAGCTGGCTCCTCTGGATATGTTTTCTGTACATCCACTCATCTCTTCTTGGGTGCTGGTGGGGCTTATTACCATTATAGTAATTAGTAGTATAATAAATACATGTTTAAAATTGCTTTTCAGATATTTTGAGTCATAATAGGACATATGCTAAGTTCTATACATAGATTATTGGCATTTATAGCTACTATGCACCCATTTAAAATAAATGACTAACTAGGAAGTAATAGTAAATACACTTTAATGTAACTTTCCTGGATAATCTGAATTAGAAGTTCTAACAAAGTAAATAACAAATCGCTAAAATCTTTTTGAGAAATCTGACAAGAATCAGCATGATTTTTAATGATATGAAAAAGAAAATGAGTAGGTATTCTAAAAATAATTTGAAACTCTTGTTTTTTATAAATTTCATTTATCCATATATGTGATATTAGTACTAAGTCTATTTATGATCAGTTATGGAGCTCTAAGATGACCAAAATGTTCAAACACAACTGATGAATTTCATGATAGTAAAATGAAAGTGAACATTAATTATATATACTAATAGTCTAATCTGAAACAGCATTTCCCTTACTGTGATTTTATTTTATTGTTTTTTAAAAAGATTTTATTTATTTATTTGACAGAGAGAGCACCCACACACAGGGGGCAGCAGGCAGAGGGAGAGGGAGAAGCAGGCTCCCCACCGAGCAGGGAGACTGATGCGGGCCTCGATCCCAGTGCCCTAGGATTATGACCTGAGCCGAAGGCAGGCGCTTAACCTACTGAGCCACCCAGGCGCCCCCCCTTGCTGTGATTTGAGTAGATATTTAAAAACAAAAACAGTTCCAGTGGTCAAATTAGTTTGGGAAACATTGATCAAGAATATTTATTTGGTAGGAGGTTGGGCAAAATGGCTGAAAGAGAGTATGAGATACAAGCTTCCAGTTATAGAATGAATAAGTCACAGGAATAAAAGGCACAGCATAAGGAACGTAGTGATATTGTAATAGCGATGTATGGGGACAGATGGTAACTATGCTCACGGTGAACATAGCATAATGAATGTATACACTTGTTGAATCACTATGCTGTACACCTGAAACTAATATAACATTGTATGTCAACTATATTCAGATTTTTTAAAAAGGAAAAAATATGGAAAGAATACTGATAAGTTATGAAAATAGCAAAAGCTAACATTTATTCACTGATTACCATGTGCCAAGCATAGAGCTTGATGTTTCATTTCAATTAGCTCACTTAATTTAACCTTCTATAGAAATGAAGATTAACTACTATGAATTTCTCAATTAAGCATAATTGCAAGTAAGGAAAATTATATGCAAGGATATTTAAAGAGGAAAATCTATTATGTAACTCATTAGCCATAATCAAAGCATAACTTATGCTAGACAAAAAAGTAAATAAATAAAAGCAAATAAATAAACCACCAAGGTTATATTTATTTATTGAATTAATATAAAAAAAAGTTTTCTAAAAAGAAATTATCTAAGAAGGTATTTTTTGTATTCACTAAATCGAAAATTTTTTTCATCTGTATGTTCAGGATTGTGTAGACATAAATATGTCTCAAAGGAAAGTAATTTCCACTGCAAATAGTGTTAGAATTTCCCCTTAACTATATTAGAAACAGATTGCAATTTACTTTTAGAAGAGTTAAGTAAAATTTAATTAAAATATTTCACAAGTATTCTAATGTTATTGTAGTAAAATGGTCTTTTATTCATTGAATAGCAATTATAAAATCAGTGGTAAATATTTTACAAAAGACCATTTAATTAAATAGAAGAACTTTTATTATGAATAACTGTATGGCATGTACAACCTTACTTAGAATTCAAAGAAAATGTGAGAAGATGAATATCTTAAAAAACAGAATAACTTAGTGTTATTATTTAGTCTATAGTTGCAAAAGGGTTCACCAGCCAACTGCATTCTTATAGCCACCAGAATAATTTTTAGTAAATGAAGAAAATAATTCAGGGTCTTAATCAAGCATATGGAGCATATATTACTTCAGTATGAATCAGTTAAAATAGCTGAAGATGCTATTATCCAGTTGGTCAATTAACTCTTATCACACGGCTGTACATTTATGTAATTACAAGCTTATAGAGCATGTTGAGTCTCAAATTTCAAAAGCCAGTGTGGTAGGACTGGAAGTATTATCACCATTTTCTAGTCCAGTCCTTATAATAGCACAGGTGAACAAGCTGTGATGACAGGATTGACTTACTAAAGCCCTGCAGGATATTAGCAGCAGAATGATCCTGTAAAAAAGAGGGCATAAATCTCACCCAACCACCCTCCATTCATCCATCCTCCATTCTTCATTTCATGTATTCATTCATTCAACAAACAGTAATTAAATGCCTATTATGTTCTAGATACTAGGGATGTGATGGTGAGCAAAACTAGACACGGTCCCTGGCCTTACGGTGACTATTTTGAGAATACAGTGGAAGATGGAGAAATATTAATAAAATAATCACTCAAATACATACAAGATTACAAATCAAGACAAATTCTTTTTAAAAAAAGAATATGGTCTGTGGTAATGTATAATAAAGGAACCAGATCTAAGCCAGGGGGCCAGAAGGGGTTTCCCAGAGGAGTGTCTTTTATATTAAGCATTAGAGCGTGAATAGAAGGAATGAGAGGGGAGAAGATGGAGAAAGGAGGAGAGGCCCTGGAGAAAGAAATGAGCATCTGAAGAACAGAAAACCCTGTATGTTTGGAATCTAAAAAGTAATGAGAGAGAGAGGCAAGAAGAGCCAGGAGGGCCATTCCAGACCAGCTAAGGGCCTACAGGTCGGACGAACATTTTTGGTCTTTGTCCCAAGAGTTATGGAAAGCTATGCGAGAGTTTAGCAGGAGGATAAAGTTATAGCTCTCATCTTCAACAGTTTTATTTTTGCATGGGCAAATACCAGATTCACAAATGCTATTCAAGGTATAGGACATTTTTTTAAGTTTTGGTTCTGTAAGTGATGGCCTGGAGAAGGGGTAGGGTGGGAGGGATGGAGAATGGCAATATGGATGTGAAGGAGGATTGGAAGTTGGTTGCCATACTATCCATCTGGCGTATCTGACTGTTTAGGAGCTCTATAATGAATGTGTTCTGAGAATAGAGTCATGTTTGAAAAACACAATTGTTTTGGAAGATTCAAATATAGGTGAAATTTGCTTGTGGTTTGTGAGCTACCTTAGGTGAGGCTTTATATGGCAAACCTCTACTTCTGGAATTTTTAAGATCATCTGCATAGATGATAGAGCTTTTGTGGGGGGTTTCTCTGGCCCACTTTCTCTTTATAAAAATCCCAGTCAGGATAAGAAATTATCTAGGTTCATTAATGTCTCCTCTCTTGAGATGTCTGAAGGTAAAGATTTGGGCTGATCGCTTCTGACCAAAGGGGATGCTAAAATATGTCATTGATAAACCAGTAGTAATCCAAGCCAAGCATCTATGACAAAATGCAATGAACTGCTTAAAAGACTAGGTTTTTAGGCTAGTCTGCAATGCCAGCTTTGCAAGGTCTAGAGTTGTTGGATCATCATCTCATCTCTCTGACAACTCTGCATTGCCTGAATAGCATCCTGGCTGCTCCTTGGACACCATCATAGTTCTTCCAGGCAAGCAAACTGCCTCTCTAGGCTTTCATTAGCCTGTCTATTAAGGAGATAACACAGATCTTAAGACAGACATTAAACAAGTGTTTAGCAAAGGCAAGTCTTTTCTTTTCTTTGTTGTTTTGAGAAAGAGAGAGAAAGAGCACGCACATGCAAGGGGGAGGGGCAGAGAGAGAGGGACAGACAGAATCTTACTCAGGCTTCACACTCAGCGTAGAGTCCCACCTGGGGCTCAATCTCACAACCCTGAGAACATGACCTGAGCTGAAACCAAGGGTCGGTAGCTCAACCCACTGAGCCACCCTGAAACCAAGGGTCGGTAGCTCAACCCACTGAGCCACCCAGGTGCCTGGACAGGTCTTTTTCATGACATGAGACAGAACAGATGAGAGACAGACTCAGGATTTATTTAAGTTATTAATCATCTTTTTTGTAATAATGTTTCCATTTCTCCCAAAGTTCATGACTCTGAAGGAAGTACAACAAAAACACTCACACTGAAGGATATTTTAAATGGGACGTTTACCTATAAAACATTTTTCCCGAACTGGATTTCAGGTAAGTGAACTATTTCTTTACCTTTTGGGGTTTTAAAAAAAAAATATGTGTTTTTATTTTTAGTGCCAACACATCTCTATGGTAACCGAAGCCATATCCATTGAAATGGAAAGAAAGAGAATTATTTAGACAAGTCAAATGGCCACCAAAGCACCTTTGACAGAACCATTTGGACTGCATTTACCCAATAGTCATGATGCCCGTTGGAGTTTCAGCAAGAAAGTAAAAGTTGAGAGTACATTGCTAGAATAATCTGAGCACGTTGTATGGTTCTTCAGAATGGGAGATATGCACCTATTTAAGAGAGGTCATAAGAATTTTACCAAAAGAGAAATTCCATTGTCAATCTGGATAATCTGAGAAATGGACAAATCCCACCCTGATAAAATGTCTTTCCTGGGCCACAAAATTGATATTTTCATATAAGTTTCCAAAATAGAATGCTGTCAAATAAGTCTAATCAAACAAATAGTAAGGTCAACTAAGTTGTTTATGACATTATAGTTTATATCTAAGTACAACTAAACAAATCTGAATATTTTAATTTTTCTCTTTAAAAAATAAAATGCACATCAAATGGGTTTTAAACTAAATCAAACACAGCCTAAAGGTAATGTATTTTTTTTAATTGCAAATCAAACATACCATTTTAAACTAGTTTATCTTCTTTGTAATACAGAGAAAATTTTATTCCCAAGCACCCTGAACTGGTCATAATAGGGCAGCTACTAGTAAATTTGGCATTTTTGTGGAGAGTGGAAAAGAGCATCCTTTCCTCCCTTCCATTGTCAAACTTATTATTTTAAATCTGTCAAAGCAATGTCCTGGACAAGGAAGAAAAACAAAGTAATTCTGTGAAATAAGAGAGGTTTCTCTTTCTTATAAATGTATTTTGTATTAAGGGAGATCATTTCAAGTTTGTTTTCCTTCTTGTTTAAAGGACAAGAATATCTTCATCAGTCTACAGATAATGATATAGTATATTACAATATTGAAACAGGAGAATCATATACCATTTTGAGTAATGCCACCATGGTATGTATCCAGCAACATCTTCTTCCTCAAAACTTTGCCATCTCTTCACTGATCAAGGACCAGAGTCCAAACACTCAGCACTTGATCTGGACCTGATCGGCCTTCTTGGCTCCATCTCCCACTAAATTCTCAAATTCTCTCTTCTAGTCACACTAGACAACTGCCCTTGCCTCCTCTCAATCGCCTAGCATCTTTCTTTCTCTGTGGAAAAAGTGTAGCAAGAAACAAGAGTCAAGAACTCAGTCCTTACAAGAGGCAAACTGAGGCTCCGGGTTCTGTCAACGCCCTAGTTATGGAAAGTTACATAAGTTTCCTCACTACGCCAGCCATAGTGTGCCTCATTTTCTCTCTCTAAAGAGTAGGAAGAATAATCCCTCTCTGGGTTACCGTAAGAGGTAAGTGATGTAACATTTGAATGTGGTAGGACGGCACCTAACACAGAATACACGCTCAATAAACAAGAGCTATGAAATGTAGGTGCATGCTGTTCTACCTCCCAGGCTCTCAATCCTCCTGCTTTCTCCACCCTCAAAAGCCGGCTAATGTTTTAAATCAAGCTCAGATGATACTCTCCTCCTCTGTGCAATCAATGATCCTCTCATTTGGATTTAAACACTTCTTTTCTTAATGCTTTTGCAATGCTGTATTTATATCTCTTTAATAGAACTTTCTAACTTGCAATACATTACTTATTTTCAAGTTTAACATGTTACGCTTCTAGAAATCACAGAGTATGTCCTATTTCTCACATCTTCCTCCCATAGTGTTTAATAAATTTCTTTGTATACAGTAAGTACCATGTAAACATTTTTAAAAATTGCATCGAAAGCATATGTATGTAGGAGTATATCAGTTATATGATACCCTTTTAGAACTGCACATTTACATGGCTCTGGGTATTTTTTTTTTTTCTGTATTCTAATCAACTTCTTTGTAATTTCAGAAAAGTGTGAATGCTTCAAATTATGGCTTATCACCTGATCGGCAATTTGCATATCTAGAAAGTGATTATTCAAAGGTATAGACTATTTAATCTGGGTATATCTGTCTATATCTCTTACTAATCCACAGTTTGGCTTATAAAAGTAAGAGGAAGCAAGAGTACATCTTTATATCTAAATATTCAAGAAGTTAATGTGTGTTCTCGATGAGCCCCCAAAACATAACTGAAACATACACAAATAATTCAGAATTTGGTGTACTTGGCTGGTTATCACCCAGTAGTAGAGACTACTTTCCTTTGGGGGGGGGGCTGCATTTTGAGACACTGATACTTATCGGAAATGGGAGAACTATACTTGTATTTCTAAAGCTATTTGACTTCATAAACCATTAGTTAATTCTCACACATTTTAACCTTGTGAAAGTTTATTATTATTGAAAATGGGAAAATCAAGGTGTAGCTTATTTTACTTACTTGTTCAAGTAAGATAATATACAGGCAGTGGTAGACCAGGGTTTAAATCTATGTGTTCAGAAGCCTGGAGTGGGAATATCCCACCAAACCGTAACCATTTACCCTTACTTAATTTCCCGTTCCTGATTGAAGTTGTAGAGGGAAGTTAATTATCTTATTTTTTCTACTTATACAACTTGAAGATAATTATTTTTTTGCAAGAAGGCAAAAGAATTTATTATCAAATTAAACTTCTAGTAATTACTTTTAGGTAGACAACGTTTTAACTGTCATTTTTCATATGCTATGTGACATGTAAAACTCTCTTAATACACAGAATGAATAGTTAATCTTTCCTCTCCCCGGCTGTTCTGTCTGCTGATTATTTTCCAATGGACCAGGTCCTGGTCACTAGCAATCTTTAGGAAGACACGTTTCAGCCAGTTGGAGTTTCTTTGCCAAGAGTTTGAAAACTCTTTTAAGAAACAAAATCCAAAATAATACTTGTATAATTCACTAACCACCGAACAAATATACTTAATGAGAAAAAGAGCAGTTGTGTTTTTTTTTTCAGGAGGAATTATAAACTACATAGTTTCTATTTATTTTTCAATTTCTATTATTTTTAAAAAGTATCATATTTGAACAAGGCAAACATTTTGTAACAAAACTCTGTGTTGAATGAAATTCTTTACCTAATTTTAGAGGGTATCATTGTAATGAACACAGGTGTAAGGTAATCCTTACAGCCACGGAGATCATAGTGGTTTCACTTCAATCAAGGTAAAGCATAAAGGGAAAATTCTTAGGAGAGAGTGTGTCAAAGAAAAGCTTTTTATATTAAGAAATGTCTTCGGATATGCTTTTTATGGAGTGAGGGTTGAATCACTGCTGAGATTAGTTCTGGAACTTAGACAAACAGCACAAAAGTCCACAGTAAAACTCTTTAAATGAAGACTCTTTTGGAATTGAAACATATCCTTCCTAGTGCCTTGTGAAAATTGTCCCTTTATAATTCTGAATCTTGAGTTGAATGATTTGTGATTATACATTATTAGCATAAGCTTTTTAAGAATTGTAATTTGTTTCCGTCTCCCTTCTTTCTGACAGCTTTGGAGATACTCCTACACGGCAACATATCACATCTACAACCTCAATAATGGGTAAGATGTCATGATTTCATGTCTATTTATTCATACTACTTACGTCTATTATAGTTTCTCAATCCAAATTCTGATTTGAAGTTAAGACTACATTATCTCGTTACTGATCCTAGTTTCTTACTTCTTTACAGTGTATGTGTACCCATAAAACTTAAGAAATTTAAGGAAATCCTGTTATGGAATATTTACCTCTTTTTATTTGACTAATATTTTGTGTTTTTACACACAATGCAGTTTTATTTTCCCTACTTTAGAACACCAAATTATAAATATACCATTTGTGAAAGTAAACATATGCACTAAAAGTACAAACACAGACATGGGAATGCTACTTTCAGGAGAGTAGCTACCTCATTGGAAGGAAGCAGAAGGGAAGGAGATGCAATATTAGTTGTACCTGAACACACACTCCATTAATTATTTTAAAATTAATTGTTTTTAAAATTGCAAAATGTAAATATTTCTTAAATTTAGGTTATAGATAAATTGTCATCTGTTATATTATTTTCTTTATTTATTTGTAATGTTTAACTGTTCAAAATATTTGCAATTAAAAAAAAAAAGAGTGAGTAGGTAGGCAAATGACCTAGTGAAAGAATTCCTGGCAGAAGGAATAACATGTAAAGGCCCAACGGGAAGGGAGAACATGGAGTGTTCCAGAAACTCAAAGTAGGTCAGTTGAGTTAAAATTGGAGAAGGGCATGCTGACTAGTGAGAGGTGGTGTAAGGTTGGGAAGGAGCTGGGGCCAGGAAGCAGGGGCCAAATAATAATGAGGAAGCCATTAAGAAGAGTTTAAATGTCATTCTGATGACAATAGGGAGTCACCGAAAGGTTTTAAATTGGAAATGACATGATCAGATTTACACTTTAGAAAAATCTCTCTAAGTATGGACAATGAATTGGTTTAGTTACTCATCTTAATGTCATATCCTATTGCTGTTATGTAAAAGGGAAAAATAATTATATGGCTTGAAGAGGTATTGAAAAATTTTATGGTCTATTTCCTCTTTTGTCCAGCAAGAGCACAAAAATTCAAAAAAAAATCTACTTATTTTAAATGTTCAGAAAAGAATAACTCTGATCTTAAACTGTCAAATTAAAAAATAGGAACTGCTACATAAAGTAGAATCTGAACTCATCTAATGTACTCTGAGTTTTTCTCTTGTCTATATCCATATCATCACCAAATTCAAAAAGTATTTATTGAACACCTACTATGTGAAAAGCATATATGGGAGAGGTACACATGAACTCAAGGCACTAACCCTACTCTCAAGAAAACTTGAAACTAGTGAAATAAAAACCTTACTCTTTCAGCGCAATTTCTTAGGCTTTAAATATTTCCTTATTTTTCTTAGTCATTTTGAAATTCTCCGCGTTCTATCTATGTTGAGGTTCAACAAATTAAACAGCATTCCAAAAGAAGGTGACAATACTAATATTTTAATTATGGCTTGTATAAGTTTATGTACCAGAATCATTTTAAATATCTAGCTTTTGTGCAGTGAATTTAGTCATACCACTGCTTACTTTCTTTCTTTCTTTCTTTCTTCCTTTCTTTCTTTCCCTTCTTTCTTTCTTTTCTGCACAACTATCTAATTTTCCAGATTGTTTTTTTTTTGTTGGTCAGGTAAATATAGCATAATTTAGGAAGTGAGTGATGACAAATCTGTTGAGATTCAAGGCAAGACCACATACCACTAATTCCAAGTTTTCTATGTGCCTCTGAAGAGTCTATAAAAATCTACCACAGAGCAAGTAAAGAGGCTTCTGGTTTCAAGCATGGGAAAGAGTACTGAGGAGATGACAGCCTTTGTAAGCAGCCTCCTCCACTTTCTCTCATAGTGTTAGTTATTTAGAAAACAGAAAATGGCAGCTGCAGTGACTTGCCAGTCATGAAGGGACTGTGTGCTGAGATTTTCAGCTTGGCGCTGTCTGCATGCTTGCATAGATGATTCCACAGCATATCGAAACCTAAGACAGTGTTACAATGTCAAAGGTAGCATGAACGCTGGCTTGACAGAGAACTGTAACCAGGTGAAGAATGTGTTTGTTTCTGGATCATTCCTTTGCCTGTGCCCTCTTGTCTTTTAATATATTCTGGCCCTTCCCGGAGCCTGCTGCTCATAAACTGCCCTCTGGCAGGCGAGATTCTCATTGCAGCTCCAATAGTCTCTCTTTTCCAGGGGCATTACTCTTTCCCCAGTCAAAACAGACCTGCCCATGTTCCCTCATGGTTTGCTGGGCCTCAGGCTGCATGACCAAAGAAGTCACATCAAAGTAATGTGGGTTACAAGACTTCACAGATGTCCAAACTTTAAAAGAATGAGAAAAGTAGAAATGTCAGGCATATGTCAGATCCAGGCTGAAGTTAGTTTTCGGAAGGGGAAGGCCAAAGGGTCTTTCTTCAGGCTCACCAATTTATACACTGGAGGCAGTTCTGGTTTTGTGTCTCTACAAAAGCATTCTTAACAAAAACCACTGATGCAATCTTTAAGAAGATCATAGTCAAAACTTAAGCATGGCATCCTATGACTCTTTAGCACTTATAAAAATCTGAACACATTCTTGCTGTAGAACCACAAAGGCTCCACAGTGCAAGTTAGTCAATTGAGTATTTGCAGGGTGACTCTAGGCATCAAAGTGAGATTTTGGCCCAATAAGATATTTGAAATTTCCCCATGGGTGGAGAACTTTGCAAGCTTAAGGCATACTGCCCAGTGTATGATCTGTTTTTCAGTTTAGCTTGAGATCAGATGTTCCTTTCCTTTTCTGATTTCAAGTCAGATCCCTGGGGAGATTGTCAAATGGCATCTTATTTTCAAAAATTTGAAATGCATATGCATTCACAGAGATGGGGGTTGTAAATGAGAATGTGGAAGAGTACATATTAAACTTCAGCACAATTATAGCATTTGAGAGCTGGAAGGCACTTCATCGACCATCTCAGCCTGATGTGTATAAATCTTACAGTCCTGAGGGCTAAGAGACTTGGGTTTGGTTAGGGGTCTGCCAAGAACCAGCAATGTGATTTTAAAAAGTCGTATCTCTTTAACCTCACGTTTCTTTTTTACAAAACGAGGGGATTCCATTAGATAATTTTTAGAGATGGTCCCACTTTCACAGCCTGAAAATCTTTAATAAATCTTTAATTCACCTCACTATAAAGGTCAGAAAACTGAGACGCGGAGAAGTTAAGTGACTTAAGTAACTAGTAAAGAACCCTAACTACTACTCAATGTGTCTAGTGCCATTGTTACCACATTCTTTCTGTTAGGTTTGAAGAAGCAGAGGATGATTCTTCATTGTTGTTGTTTACTTTTTTCTGTTTACAAAGATTTTTTTTCATTGAACAGCAAGGTTTATTATTATTTTTTCTTTCTTTTTTTTCCTTCTAGAGAGTTTATAAGAAGAAATGAGCTTCCTCGTCCAATTCAGTATTTATGCTGGTCGCCTGTTGGGAGTAAATTAGTAAGTGTTTAAATTATAGAAGTGTTTAATCATTTAAATAAAAGAGGAGCCATTTGATTTTGGCCTTTGTTAAATTTCCCTGCCTGAAAGGAAAAAAAAAAATTCATGACTATTTTAGTGGTTAAAAACGGGAAGAGTTTTGATAAATTGAAACTCATCTGAGAATTCCGCAAAATCTCAAGCTCATGGATAGACTTCTTTAAATATCGCAGTCAAAAACTTTATCCTCATACTCAGCCAGAATGCTTTGTGCCAGAAAGCTGAGGAAAAATATGGTTTTCACAAGTTTCCCAGACTAGCTTCAGACAACATGAAATTTTGTCCAAGCTCTTATTTAAGGACTCTAAATAAAGATTAGATCTGGCTAGCTATTAATATTCAAAGATTTATTTGACTTTCTGTTAATATACACAATTATTTATTTGGGTAATAAAACAACAAATACAATAGTAGACTTTATGCTTTATTTGATACAGACTTTAAAAATCCTAATTGATGTTAATGTGAGTTGGTTGGTTTTTTGACCTATTAAAACGATACTTTAGTTGTGAGTCTTTTTTGCATCTGGATTACCACTCATTTTGCAGGTATTAGGTAAATAGTTAATACAAATTTACAGACTTCATTGTATTCCTTATGGAATTCTCCTCATTAACTTACCACCACGTCTAGGCATATGTCTATCAAAACAATGTCTATTTGAAACAAAGACCAGAAGACCCACCTTTTCAAATAACATATAATGGAAAAGAAAATAAAATATTCAATGGAATCCCAGACTGGGTGTATGAAGGTAAGCTGTATTCTTTTTCTACTGTTGCTGTTTTAGGCTTTTAATTGAAAATAATTGCATATATTTAGTAAAATGGAGATGAGTGGTATGTTACTGAGATGAATGGTGGCATTTCTGAAAGCTGTTATCAGATTAGGAACAGGGTGTGCCTGTTCTGAAAGAGCAAAATCTAGTAATCGGCCTGGGAGAGTTTATTTTCACAAGCATTATAAAGTGGTAGTAATAATTTATATTTCAAGTAGTATATGGTCCTTAGATGCTATGTTAGTACATTTCCTCAGGTTTCTTTTTTCTTGAGAAATAAGCCTTCTTCCAAAACGAAACAGCAGTCTACATAATTTTGCAGGGAAATATTCCTAGTTTTTGATGCTTTCGTGAATTGCGTCCTCTTTCTAGGTCATGTAGGATCCAGGACTCACCTGGACGTTAAAAGGTCTTGTAGTCTTTGCCTTTATTAAAAAATAATATAACTGAACTTTTTTTTTTTTAATATTCCTAAGAAAAAATCAACTTCCAACATTTCACTCTATAGTATAATTACAGTTCCCCTTGTTTGGGCTACTTTAGATGACTATAAAAACCAGAAGCTGCCCCAAAGGGAAAAATTATTTATTGTTGAAATGTTTAATTAATTTACTTAAATAATTACATTTCTGATTTAATATCAATTCCTAAGAAGACTGGTTGATGTTTGATATGAGGTATAAGGTTAAACTATTTCTTTAAACTCAGATTGTCTTTTTGAACAACCAAATTTTGGCATGTCACATCCACATTAAATAAATTATTTCAGTCAATAAATGGCCATACAACGTATTTTGAAGCATTTACAATGATCTTAAAAGTAAGTTATAATTGTAATTAATATGCTTGTATTTATCTTTCAGAGGAAATGCTTGCTACAAAATATGCTCTCTGGTGGTCTCCTAATGGAAAATTTTTGGCATATGCAGAATTTAATGATACAGAGATACCAGTTATTGCATATTCCTATTATGGTGATGAACAATATCCTAGAACAATAAATATTCCATACCCAAAGGTATGTTGAGTACTTTTAGCAGATGCTTCCGTTTCTCCTGTGTCAAAATGAGCAACCAATACCATGAATAGAGGTGGGATCAACAAGTTTGGAGAGCTTCTTATCCTTGTGCATTGTAAGGCAAACATTGTACTGTGCTCTATTATTTATGTGGACATCTGTTGCTTTGGACATCTGGTTGTGCTGGATGAAGTAGTCTTTGCAAAATCCATCGCAGAATCTTTGAAAAACATATGGTCTAGATTATGGAGGAAAAACAAGCTTAACTTAATTTTAATTTTTCATATTTCATGCTCCAAATTCAGGGTAAAGTTCTGTTTTGCAATTCCCTCTTGAATTCTCATGTAAATGCGAACTAGAATGGAAAATACAAATGTTGAACTTGATGTTCCCGTCAGGTAGAAGCAGGCATGAGTTATGATCTTTTCTGGACATACAAGGTAGGTTAAGTTTGTAAGCCTAGTTTCTTCCTTGAGGAAATGAGACATGGAGTGAGCCCAAAGTTTCTTGTATAACCATTCTAGAATTCTCAGTGTACACACTTTTCATTCAGTCCCATGTCTGAAGAGAGGGCTTCCGTGTCTGCAGTGGGAGAATAGCAAGATCACAGTGGAGAAGCACCAGATCCCGATCTGATTTAGATAAAAATCTGAAAATGGAGCAAATCATAAATCCTCCTCTCTCACAAGGAGTGGAAATGATTTTAGAAAATGGTTCTTTGTTCTTTATTCACTACACTGTTTACTTTCCAAAGAGAGCACTGTTATGGATAGATCCAGGGGGTCCCTATATGTGACAAAGATGGACAGATGTGCATACACACAAGTGGCTTTCGATGCAAGTCCAGGTGGTTGTGGTAAGAGAAATAGAAATAGCAGAGAGTCTAAAATTTATGTTAGAAGTCATATGAGAAAAGGCAGTGGATAGGAGAAGCATGTTTAGGGAGGAGACCCTTCAATGGCTGGGTATAAAGTCTGAAAGCTGGAGATATTTGGAAGCAAGAGGTGTGGTACTTGGGGCCCAAGATGTGAAAGAACTTGGGTCTTTGGGAGGGTGTAAGGGAGCAAGAAGAGAGGAGGAACCCATAACTGAGGACTAACTGATACTGGCTGAGAAGTTGGGACCCAAATTTCCATGTTTTCTTGAAGACCGAAGTTGCTGAAACATCTGACATCAGACCGAGAGGTGAGACAACTTGAAAGAAGCCAAAAGTCCCAGCTAAACCTCATAGGGAAACAGGTCAGAGGAGGGCCTGGACAGGTCTTTAGATAAATCCAAACAGCATGGAGTCATTTAAGGCTGTGAACTTAAACTTTGTGGACTTAAATTGTTTAACAATTATAAGACTCTCTTTTTCTGTGTTAAAATAACAGGAACTCTAAGAAGCTGTCTGGGTGTGAACTACACTGTCATGTAAATTTAGGGTGTATAATAGCACAGAAAGTACAAAACAAGAAAAGTGCAAATTCCATGGGCACTTTATTTGGAGGTGACATTTCCCTAATTTGGGGGGGGGATGATAGCAGTAGTAATGTAACCAACTAGGAGATTGAGTGATGATTGTCCTAGACCAAATTATAGGGTACAAAGCAAAAAGTCTCTTTCATTATTTATTCTTTACACTCTCCTCCCCTCTACACTCCCTCTAGCACATGGAGAAATGATTCTTATACTTATCATAATAATAATAATAATAGGAAATACCCATTTTGAAAGTCAGAAAAGAGAATATCAATTATAGAACTGCATTTTCATATCCAAAATATTTTTTTCCCTATGAATCAAAGCTCCCTCATTAATCACTTAAAATATGTGTTTTTCACTCTGGTTGACACAATATTTGTAATTGCTCTGCAAGTAAAATTGAAATGAGATTCCTGGTCATGTTATAATTAGAATGTTTTCAATAGTAATATACTTAATATCATTACCTTATAAAAATACGCCTGAATTCCTAAAGTGTCTTTAATATGTTGATGATCATTAGAATTTTATGAGCTTATATATCTCCAATTTTTTGACAGGCTGGAGCTAAGAATCCGGTTGTTCGGTTATTTATTATCGATACCACTTCTCCTGAGCATGTAGGTCCCAGAGAAGTACCAGTACCAGCAATGATAGCATCAAGGTATAGTAAGCTCAGCTGCTTCCTACCTTCCACTGAATTTTAACACCGAAATTTCTCTCCTTTTTTTCAAAGATTTTAATTATTTATTTGACACAGAGAGAGAGGAGAGAGAACACAAGCAGGGGGAGCTGCAGAGGAGGAGGGAGAAGCAGGCTCCCTGCTGAGCAGAGGGCCCCACATGGTGCTCAATCCCAAGACCCTGGGATCATGACCTGAGTCGAAGGCAGACATTTAACAGACTGAGCCACCCAGGCGCCCCTAACACTGAAATTTCTTAATTGGGATTTATACTTCCTTTCTAGTGAATTTATGATGTGTATACTCTAAGCAAAAATAAATAAATAAAATTGACATGCAAACCCAAATACATAACCAAATTAAAAAATCACAAATACATTTCTTAAATCGATTTTTAAAATAGTAGCCTCTTTTGTACATATAAAGATGATCATAGTGATCAGTCTGAGTGATAATTCCCTCAGGTGTGTGAAGGTAAACTTGGGGTCAGTAGGCAAATAATAAAATTCCTATGTCTTCTCCGCATGGTTTCTCTCAACTCTGGTCTACTTTCTCTCCAACCCAGGGTTTATACATCATGCTCGATCACATATGTATGACAAACAAGAGAAGATAAGCCAACCCTCTCCAAATATTAGCATTTTTTTTTTTTTTTACTAGGATGAAGTCTATCCACAGTTATCTGTTTGTCCAATTTCTGTTTGGGGTTAACTATAGGTAAACAGGGACATGAAGCAGTCTCACTTCTCCAGCATGGTGCCCTATGTAGATACTGGCTGATTAGCCCTGATAATAGCAAGCCTCCAGCCCTCCATCAGCCCTCTGTGGTATTCTGGTTGAAGCAGATAAAGCTAAGAGGTCCCCTACGCCCTGCACGGTGGGCCTCCTTACCACTTCCCAAACCCAGCAGGCCACTGCTTGGCTTCTCTCGTGCTGCCCCATAAAGGGGAGTCAGCCAGGGCCAAGCAATTGATCACTACCAGGGAAAAGAACCACAGCAGAGGCCTCTGCTGGGCCCTGCCAAGGTGAATCCACTCGTGGATAATTTAAAATGGCTTTATTTTTTTTGGATGATCCATTACTCCCCCAACCCCAATCTAGTGGATGAAAACTTGACTAAATACATCTTTTATTTTTTTCTTTTGAAGTGTCATTCTCCTGAGGAGGCAAATGGAATGATAGAAAGGGTACTGTAGGAGGAGTCAAGAGGCTTGTTGGGGCATCTGTAAAATACTAACAGTTTAATAGTAAGAGCTAACCTTTTCTCGGCACTTACCATGGAGCAGACAGAATTCTCAAGAACCTTAAGCACTCTCAACAAATTTTGTAGCAAGCTTTAAATTTGGTAATATTATTATTCCCATTTTATATAGAAACGGAGGCACAGATATGTTAAGTAAGTAGCCTTAAATAGGACAACTAGTAGGAGGTAAAACCAGAATCTGAGCCAGAGACCCTTCCAGTTTTGGGATTGCTTTTACATCAATGTCCAAAATTCTGTGGTTTATTTACATCGATGTTCTCTCTCTGCAGCTTCATCCTCAGAGCCAAGTAATAATTGCTGCCATTCATTGACACCAACTACGTGCCAAGCATCATTTGAGTTACTTAGTATACATCATCTCTGATTATTATAGTAAGCCTGAATTTCAACCCCTAATCACGGTCACCGTTAAAACTCGGCTTCCAACACAAACCTGCCTGGAGAGAAAGATGGGCATTTAGCATACTTGGCTCTCTCTCAGCTAGTTAAAAATTGAAAACTTGAGTTTACCTGTGAAAAATCACCAGTTTAATGCTTTTTCCCCCTAGATTGACCAATAGCTTTGGCCTCATGTCTTAAAATGTTTCTTGAGATGTACAAATCCAAAATGAGGAGAAAACTCAAGCATAAAATAATCCAATTAGATGAATGAGTTCTCTTATAGATATTTGTTAAAAGTCAGCAAGTATGGGGTGCCTCGGTGGTTCAGTCAGTTATACATCTGACTCGATTTGGGCTCAGGTCATGATCTCGGGGTCTTGATATGGAGCCCCACATCGAGCTCTGCACTGGGCGTGGAGCCTGCTTAAGATTCTCTCCCTTCCTCTCCCTCTAACTCTTCCCCTGCCCCGGGCTCACTTGCACTCTCTCTCTCTCTGAAAAATAAATAAATAAATAAATAAATAAATAAATAAATAAATAATAAAATAAAATTCAGCAGGTACATTTAAGCCTTCTTTCTCTGTAGGGAAGGGAAAGTTTACCTTCCTTATCTATAGAATAAATATTTCATAATAATAAAATACATCCTTTAGAAAACAGAACTTAAATTATTTGATGTGATACTGGTTTATGGTTGTGACTCTGTTTTGCTTTATTTGCAGTGATTATTATTTCAGTTGGCTCACATGGGTTACTGATGAACGAATATGTTTGCAGTGGCTAAAAAGAATCCAGAACGTTTCAGTTCTGTCTATATGTGATTTTAGGGAAGGCTGGCAGACATGGGATTGTCCAAAGGTAGGTTATATTAAAACCACAGAGGTATATGCCAGAAGATGAAAGTACATGAGGGGAGACTTACCTGTAGCTAACATTTTGTATTATAAGGCCAGAATTACCACATTCAACTCTTGATTGCTTTGCAAAAAAAAAAACCCTCTTTCTTCACATTTCTTTATTTTTATTAAATAAGTAAGATACCCTTGTTTTCTTGAATGACTTCGGCACCGGTACTGCGTAGAGAAAAAGACTAACTGAAACAATGTAACATTGGAAAAATAAGGCATCTGGTTTTGAGTTAGGATGGAAATCTATCCTTTTGAGATGCTACGGATGGCAGTCAAAAAAACCAAAATAAGGAGGATGAAAAGATAAGATGGGTCTATCATGGAAATAAATGTGTTTTATTAAAAAAAAAAAAACCGAGAAAATGTAAACGGTGCTATGTTCTATTCAGTGTCAAAATTGAAAAATAAAAATTTCAAAGGAAACGGATATTATCAAAAGAAAGCCAAATATTCCCATTTTAAAATTAACAGTAGATAATCAAGAATATGACATGAAATATCAGATCAAATTATCCTGCTCTCTTGTTACCTTGAGAGTACCCTATACTGTGTTAATTTTAGGGAGAAAAAAACTTGAAAATTAGGCACAGATTAATTGTTGAGTTTTAATTGTTTCTATTGTTCAAATCCAAACATAATCTGTTTAATTAATGAGTTAGACAAGTACTTTAGCAATCTAAAAGCTTTAAAATGAGCCTGTTCAGAAGTACTCATATTAGAGACTAAGAAATACAAAATGTTTTCTTTAAATAGGAAATTTGATGGATACATTTCATAAGACTTCTAATTATGAAGACGTGTTTCATTAAACCAAATATAGAATAAACCTATTTTATAAAGTAAGAAAAAAAACACAGAGCAATCAAAGTAAATCACTAAATTCCATCTCAAAATTAGGACACTATGTTTTGCAAGAAAAGAGTCATATGAATCTATTTGGAAATATATCAGGACTATAATAGTCAACATTACTCAGGCTAAAAATATTTCTTAAATCACTACTCTCTAAGAAGCTTGACTAATTTTGATGGAATATGCTAGAAGCTTATTTTTATCTTATTTATATTTTGATATACAAAACAGAAAGATTTTGGCTTTAATGCAGTAGCATGGGAGGGAAGAAAAGAATAAACTTGATTGTGGCAGTTAATTAGAAACCATTCATGTGATAAATCAGCTTTGGAGGAATATATCTTGACTGTTTTTATTGAATCTAGGTATGAGGAATTATTGCTTTAATTTTATTAGTTTAAAACCATAAGATCGGTCATTTAGACACAATTTTTAGTTCTCAAAAAAAAGGAATTTAAAAACAGCAATTGCTTTGGAATCTGAAATTCTAATTTATCAAAATCAGGGACAACTTTAATCCAAACTGACAGAATATATAAGATGCTTATTCAAGGAGATGTGGACTTTCTTGGAATATAAGCTTTAGTTTAATGGCCCAAAACCGTTATTAAATTTAAAATACCAGGTTTAATTAAACTTGGGATTTCAAAACAACCCCAGTTTCAAAATAATTTGATAAGTACATGGAACACATTTTCAGATTTAAGAACAACAAAGCGTTGAGTAACAAAGCTGTGCCTAAGATTTATTATTACCTTGCTTTTTATGACAGTACCCTCACTCATGGTTCTCTTTCTTCTTCACTGACTGTTCTTTTTGTTTCCAGCTCTTCTTTTTCTGTTCTCTAGAAATCTTATCATTCTCCAAATTAATGTATTTGCAAGATAGGCTAACTGCTATAACAACAATAAAACCCTTCCAGTAATTCAGTGGGTTAAGACATTAGAAATGTTTTGCACATTCATGTAACTACCTACTAATGAGTCCAGGTGAGTGGGGAATGGTGAGGGGTGGGAGATGGGGTGCTTAGGTTGATGGCATTTCTGCTGTCTTATCTAGTGACTTCCAAGGCTAGTCCAAAGTCATTCAAACCTGACCACCAACATCCAGCTGGGGGATGGAAAAGGGAATGGAGGATCATGCTCAAGAGGTTTTTTTTTTATAGGTTAGGCCTGGAAGTGGAATGAGTCACTTCTGCTCACACATCATTGGTTAGAACTTATCACATGACCACATCCTAATCGGGAAGGAGGCTTGGGAAATGGAGCCTGACTATAGTCCGAGCAAAAAGACATCAGCAAAAGATTGCTGATAATCTTATAGTCTTTGCCACAACTCTCAACTTACTCTTTAGGTGATTTTCATCTATACCAGAGGTTTCGGTTACCATTTGCCCCTCAAATTTATTCTGAGGATTTGAACTTTTAAGTTATCTCTGGCTACATCTTCTCTGGTCTGCCCTTAATATCAATACCTAGATGTAGGCTTTTATCACTTTTTTTCCCAAACATTACAATAGCCTTCCAGTTGATCTCTCTGCTTCCTTCTATCTTACTCACTTCTAATCCATTCTCTGCATCATGTTTGCAATTATATTTTCCAAATTGTGATTCTGAAATCCTTCAAAGGATTTACCCAAAGGGGGAGTCCAAACTTCCGAGGGTGGCATTCGAGTTTCTCCAGGATCTTTCTGATACCCTTGCATCTTTCCTCATCTTCAACTCTTTTCAATAGTCAGTCACCCTCCCCTCAGCCATATTGAACCACACCTGTAGTCTACTAAGCTGGCCTGGTCTCTGTGTTGTTCATTTCACCTAAAATGTTCTTTCTCTAATTGTTTGTCTAGGAAAGCTTATTCATCCTTTCAGCCTTACTAAATTTTGTTCAATAAGTAATTGGTTGCCTTATGCAAAAATAGGCACCAAAATAAGATCCAGTGCACATTTTAAGATTCCTACCTACTTAATAAGATGAAGAAAAGAAAAAAATTAACCTAAAGTCCACTGTGAAATGCCTTTTTAAACTACATGACACCAAGTGCTTAGGGGTTGTGCTAGGCTTCTGTAGATGTAATAATTCCAGGCACCGCCTCATGGAAAATTAAACCAAGATTCTTAAATGTTTGCAGTAAGAGCCAGTTCTTAGATTACTCATGTGTATGCCATAGGGCTGGTGTATAAGATTGTGCATATGGTCACTTTAAACTCAAGTGTGAAGTTACTCAATTACAATAGTACAGTTTGAGTAGATAGCTTAACTGGTTCAAATGCCCAGGTCATATCTAGAAAAAACTGTTCTCCTAATAGTATGCTTGGTGTGATCTTTCTTTCTTTTAGACCCAGGAGCATATAGAAGAAAGCAGAACTGGATGGGCTGGTGGAGTATGATTTTGCTATCTTTTCCTTATATTTTAATGTCACTTCACAGATTCTCAGCTATCAAAGGACCTATTTTAAATGTATCCAAACTGACACTACTTGTTTCATAGAAAAAATAACAAGGTAAAAAAAAAAAAATACCACACACAAAGGTAGTGATCCTTTCAGCAAACTTGTGCCAGACAATTTTAATGTCTATATATTTAAAATTCTTTTGAGAACAAATCATATTCCTCATGTCCCAACCTTAGCTTTTTAATCGAGTTTCTGATATTCATAGTTAATATTCTTATTAAGCAAATAAAATAAAGATTATTTTTCAAAAGGGATCACAATTCCTGATCAGCTTAAAATAATAATTATTAGCCATTTGAAGCCAGAAGAACCAAATACACTGGTATTCTTAGTCATTTAAAGACAACCTACCTCTTAATACATTTTATATAGACTGAAATGAATAAATGAGTTATATATTTTTCCAGTCTTTAAGTGGTATCAAATAGGAAAATGTGTGTTTTGTTATGGTTTTTGATCACTTATATGTAGAATTTTTGGGATAGGTTTATACAGTAATTTGTGAGAATTTTTAGTGTAAAAAGATCATGTTTTACAAAATTATCAGTTGTGTCTAATGCCCCATGAAGAATACACAATAGGACAGAGAATAAGTGAATGTTGTGTGGATGCTGCCACTTATTACAAGCATATTGAATTCAACTAGTATTTGGATTTAAACACACACACACACACACACACAGTTTCTCTGAGTGGCACATGCAAAGAAAAAGGAAACTCTTTAGTACCTGGTTTAACACACTAACCCGTGATACAAGGATAATAAAGAATTCAGAGTCAACTGTAAGATGATAACTCATAAAAATTCAAAGTTTAGATGGGTAGAAAGAAGGTAAATGACAAAGTAAAAATCATCAGATATTAAAAACTCTTTTTTGTACACGTTTCTGGATTTAGCGATGTTAGCTTACATATATTTACTCTTTCAGTTAAAGATATTTCAGTTTTATTCATTAACTTGAGAATAGTTATTACTTTATTAATTATATACATTAAGTGTAAGTTACATTCTAAAATAGCAAGGTAACAAAGATAGGTTGTGTAATTGAGAAAAAAAAATGGCCAAGTCCTATTTGAGTTCACTCTTTGCCACTGTACTAAATAACGCAAGAAAAATCAGGAGTATTTGGTGAAAGGACAGGATTTTCTAAATTTTTGAAATGTTGGTCAATCCTAAGCTCATCTTCCAAAAAGGTAATTCCTAGATCATTATTTGAAAACTTGAGGAAAGGGGAAGTTAATCTATGAGTTCACTCCCATTATAAAATTTCCAGTAAAGAATGAAGGCAAAGAAGAATACTTGAAGACTTCCTTTGGTTGTATTCTCCATTATGATAACATAGTGAGAGTTACTACAGAATGATGTGAATGATATGATTTTACAAATAGATAAACAATGATACCAACAGTCTTCTCAAAGACATGATTTTAGGAATCCACACACTTTTATTCTGAAAATGCTACCAGCATTCAAAATACACCGAAATATTTTAAAATGCATCTTTTGAAATCTCTTATTTATAAGCATCTTAGAGTCATTTGTACCTTATCAATTTTTACAATCTGTATAGCACCAGCCTTGTAACCTCAACAAACATGAGCTGGATGAATGGATCAATTAATTAATTAATTGCCTTCTAAAGCCATAGAACATTGTTTTAAATACCCTCAGTGGAAGCACATGCATATCCTTTGAGGGAAGATGAGATCCCTACATGAAATAAAAAATTATTTTTAAAAAAATCATGCCAAAATAAATCTAGTGAACAATGCGTTATTTATCTTCAACGTATGATTTTGTGCTACATCATTTTAATGTCTATAGCTTTGGAATTCTATTGGGAAAAATTATTTTTTCATGTACTCATCTCGATCTCTTAAAATGTACCCAATAGTCAGTAAATTTTCTAAATCCCGGAAGAGGTATCATCAAAAAATCTTTGCAGTGATAGCTTTCAAGAGTAAGTTCACATTCTCCCAAGGCAGCTGCTTTGAAGAGGTCATTCATTAGATTTTATAAGTTTTGACATGTCTTTTGAAAGTCAGGCCATAACTTTATAAGCTCATAACTCCTATGTCATAATATTGACCTATAATCAAACCAATGGCTTAATAAAACTACCCAGAAATAACCTAGAAATATGTATGTCTTTCAGACATTTGTTCAAGTAATATTGATCTAGTTTTTAGAGAAAGTCATATCAGTATAAAATCAGAGAGCAATTTTAGAGAAGTTGTTCCTTTAGAGTTTATAAAGGAAATCTAAACTGAAAAACACTTGGAAACCACCTGTGAATCAGAGGAATGAGACTGAATGACTTGTGTAAAGCAATGCACTTGTTAGCTGCAGGCATGGCACTGGCACATAGAGCTTTACCTATCATTTTTTGTCCTCCAGCACGAGATATTCAGTGTCTTAATTTGGGGGAAATAACCTAACATCTCCTTTGGTATTTGATCAGAAAAATAACAACCACGAGTTCACTTCAAACAAATTTCTTCTCACCCTGTAGAGAACAGACCAAAAAAGAGAAGCCTTTAATCAAAGGATCTAGTATTGAGTTAGTAAAATTTGGAGAACAAGCACTAACTAAAAGCATACATCTTAGAGTGCAAAGCCACATTTAAATTATTTTAAAAATAAGTAAGCAATACACTACACCTCCCTTAGCCGTTGGCAATATCCCTTTGTTCAAAAAAATAAGGGTTGTTTTGGGTTTGTAATTTTTTTTAACTTTTAAGTGAGCCTTTATTTCCTTGTTTCACAAATAAAGCTGGCTGACTTTGGTTGCCAGAAAAATGAGTTTTCTACCCAATGCTTGAAGTCTGTGCTTTTCACCAAATGCGGACTCCTTTCAGGCATCAGCCTTTGCTAAGTAGGACCTCAGGGTTATTTCCCAACCATGGTAAGAAATTATCAGGTGGTGAATAATCTTACCTTCCAAGTATAATATTTGAAATGGCTTTGCACATAGAGGTGAGTAATTTATCAGAAAATCTAAGCACGATAAAGGGGCTGTGAAAAGGCCTTGTTAAAACCGAGGACCACCTAGTTATGGGTGCTTATCTAGGGTCCAGGCGTGACTTGCCGCCAGAAGCACTTAACTCAGGATGCATGATGGACCCAGCTCTGGGAAAGTGAAGGCGGAAATATTTCACACTCTCTTTAGCTCACCCAAGTTACCTGTTCATCTAAAGCAGCTGTCTTCACCGCGTGCAATAAAAGGGAGAAGATAACAGTCTTCGCTTAGCAGACATATTCTTCCTGTTCGCCTGATTCTGATATCTTAAAACATAACACCCTGCTCTCTTATTTTTTTTTTCAATGAAAATGAAATTTTAAGTCTTCATCTAGAACAAAACCTTTTTTACAGTTCCTTACTAACCCGAGTTTTGAGGAGAATATGTTTTTACTCTGGCATCTTAAAATATTTTGTGACCCTGGTTCCATTTTAGCAGTGAAGACCACGTAGCGCTGTTTTTTGTCCTTCACCCTGAGGAGTGAGAGGGAGGCATTGCAAAGTGGCTACTAGTAAGTAGGTGTATTATCATTGGCCTAAGAAGGCAAAGCTTCCTTCTAAAATGAAAGAATGGCTTGTTATGATGACCTATACTAATGAAATTCCATCCACAAAATTACAAGCCAGAATTTCTTTTCCCTGGGCCTCTTTTTCACTCAGTTCACTTTCAACTTCATTTAGAGGCATTAGTCTCAATACCCCGAATCCCGCCGAGGCTGGTCTTATGATTAATGAAACTAACAAAGGGATCGTGTAAGGAGATAGATTCTCTTTACTCCATTTTTCATTTGGTGAAAGACATCCATTCTGTGCCAGAGTGATAAGACTTAGGACGTATTAGTTTCCTGAGACCACTGCAACAAACTACCACAAACTCGGTGGCTTGAAACAACTGAAATTCACTCTGTCACCATCCTGGAGGCTGTAAGTCCAAAGTCAAGATGTCAGCAGGGTCCTGCTCCCTCTGAAGCCTCCAGAGAATTCTTTCTCACCTCTTCCAGCTACTAGGGGCTCTTGGCAGTCCTTGGACTTCCTTGGCTCGCAGTTGCATCTCTCCAATCTCTGCTTCCACCATCACGATGTCTTCTTCCCCATGTCCCTTGGGTCTAGTGGTATCCTCTCTTCTGTTGAGGACCCACCAGCCAGATTGGATTCAGGGCCCACCCTGATCCAATATGATCACATCTCAATTCTTACCTTGATTATATCTGCAAATAGGGTCATTATCTTCCTCCCTTTGGGCTGCTAAAACAAAGTGCCATAGCCTGAGTGCCTTAGAGACAACAGAAGTTGATTTCTCACACTTCTTGAGGCTGGAAAGTCTTAGATCAGGGTGCCAGCCTGGTTGGGTTCTGGTGAGAGCTCTCTTCTGGGTTGCAGACCACCAACTTCTTGGATCCACACATGGTAGAGAACAGAGCAAGGGAAGCAAGCTCTCTGGTGATTCTTATAAGGGCATTAATCCCATTCATGGGGCTCTACCCCTGTGACCTCATCTCATCCTAATCACCTGCCAAAGGTCCCACCTCTTAATACCATCCTAGTGGGGGTTAGGGTTTCAAAATATGAATTTGGGGGGAGATAGAAACAATCCCAGTCCATCATAGTTACCATCGGAGGTCTGGGTTCAAATGAATTTTGGAGAATGCTATTCAGACCACTACAGACACCATACCCAAATAAGTTACATTTTAATATCACGTAATCATAACCATAAATTTTTATCAAAAAGCATCAATTATCAGATCACACACGGAGCTATCACTAAAAAGGCCTATAGCAACTAAAAGATACTGGTAGTTTGGTTGTTGTCCCTTGGTCAGTTCTGAAGGAGTTGGACAACTTGTTTCTCTGGCCAGAGACAGCTGGTTTGGGATTATTTGTGGGAATCTCTACTGGGCATGATGCAGAGCAGCTCTTTCTTCCAGTAGCTATTTTACCACTTTGCCTTTCTTTTACAACCCAATGACAACAAAGCCAACAAATATAAGACAAGGCTATTTTTTTGTCTTTTTTTTTCAATTGAAATGAATGGGGTCTTTTTATTATTATGTTCAGTTAATGGCTATTTTTTTTTAATGGAGAAACTACTAGCTAAAAATTGTGTGAGGATATTTGCAGAATTTTAGTTATCTATACCATTCCAGATATAGAGGTGTAACTTGCTCTGTTCCAGGGCACGGGAAAGCTGAGTGTCAGAGACTCCTTGGGTCATTCAACAGTTCCCAGCAAGTGGCCAGTGTGGGCCCTGGGAAGAGGCCAGAGACAGGCAACGAGGCCTGTTTCGCTCCCTGAGCTCAAGGAGTAAACCTCCTACTAGCTTGTCCAGGAAAACATTTTTCTCTCAAGTCTAGAAGTTCTAGAAGCTTCTTTCCAATGTTAAAAATGGTGGCTAGCAGGCCATGATATTTTCATCTTTAAAATGTCTTCAATGAATCATTGGCATTAGGTGCTTAGCGCCAGACAAATCAAAAATCAGAAGAACTATCAGCCTTCATGAGTCACATTTTGGTCAAATACCACATTTTGAAGTTTGGCTTGGCTAAATATCAACACTCACTTGTGATTCTTTTAACTCTCTTTCAAACCACACTACCTCCAAGCATAGACGTTCAATGGAATTGAACATTACAAACACAGTGCTATGTAGTAGCAATTAAGCAGCAGTTGGAATGTGCAAATGCCTGTTGGAATCCCTAGAAAAGCTGTCTATCTGAAAGAATGGGATTTCAGATGTGAGTGATGGAAGGCAGGGGAGGCAAGGCATTCTGGTTCCTATAATCATAACTATCCACTGCTTTTAAAAAAAAATCTAGTTTTAGTTTGGTTTGTCTTTTGAACATAACCTCTGTTCATTTCTTTCAGTTCTTTGTTTCAACACCAGTTTTCAGCTATGATGCCATTTCATACTACAAAATATTTAGCGACAAGGATGGCTATAAACATATTCACTATATCAAAGACACTGTGGTATGTTCCTTCCAAGATTTATCTCCTCAAAGATCATTCACTTGAGGTTGCTCAAATAACGCTCAGCTTCACACAACATAATGTTTGTCTTTTTATAGGAAAATGCTATTCAAATTACAAGTGGCAAGTGGGAGGCCATAAATATATTCAGAGTAACACAGGATTCACTGTAAGTATTGCATGAAGCATGATGCACCATTCAGGTTTTAATTAGCACTGATGGACACACAAATGATACTGTACCACCTCTTCGTTAAGAGCATTTTTGGTTACTTACGCTAGAGGTTAGTGCAGATAGCTCTGGTTTCATTAAGATTGCACATTCTTTAACAGCTAGTTAACATGATTTCTTTCAGGAAAGAATATTTAGTAAGTGGTCCTGTCTCTTCTGATACCTGGTAGATAATAAATTAAAAGTATAAAATTTTAAAAATAACAACTACTTCTAAACACAAATTTTACACTTCAGCACTTGAAGAAAGGAGCAAGCTTCAGAAGTCCATGAAGGGCAGCCCATAGATACAGACATTTTTTTTTTTGTAGTAATTCAATGTTATGTGAATTTAAGATCATTATCTGTAACAGCTGTCATTTTTTGAGCAATTACTTCCTACCACATACTGTGAAGTAGAAACAGAGGTAGGGGAAACCCAAAGGTAGGAAGGCCCAGCGATGGTCTTAATCGAAGCCTGCAATGATGAGGACCTGAACTATAACAGTGCCAATGAAATACGTACTCTTGGACGGAGAAGCTACGCCTCCTTTTTCTTGTGTCCTTAACGCTTGGCATAGTGCCTGATGCAGCGCTGGAAGTCAGTAAATATTTGTTAAATGAATGAGAGGAAGGGTACATGACCGTAAGGACAGATAGAGTCAGAACAAGACTGCTGATTTCGTGGTCCTGAAGGAAAAGGGAAAAGAAAGGCAAAGTGGACTCGGTTGCCAGGGTTAGATGAAGGCAACCATGAAGCCTCTGACAGAACAGGAAACCTGCGGGGGGCCACTTGGAAAAGATACGGGGTAGTTTATTCACTTGTAGTTTGAGATGATGTGAGGAAGACAAGTGCAAGTGACCGTCCCCTCGGTCGGAGTCACGTGAAGTTAGTCAAGGCACGTGGAAGGCTGCTGGTTTAGAAGACACAGTCAATCCTAGGAGTGATTTGCATTCTCTTACCTTTTCTTTCTACTTGGGGATAAGGAGGTGTTTATGACAGTGAAGACATAAAACCACCCGGGCCACTGAACAGTCCTAACAATTAAAAATGGGTAACCGAACCCGACTTTCTACACTCCATTATGCTCTTCCAAAAAGGAAAAAAAAAAAAAAAAAGACAGTTACTTCGTGATATTCAGATGAACTCACAGAGGAGTGAAAATCATGCCACTAAATTGGATTTCCCACTTCATAGCTATATTAAGACAGGTTAGAACTGGGACCCAGATACTTAAGTAACAAGTATGTTCTCTTGTGACTTTTTTGCATCTCGGTAAATTAACATGGCCCTTTGTGTGGTGTCATAGTGTGGATGCATTTCTGGATTTATAACAAATTCATCTATGTCAGAGCTTCTGTAAAACAAATTCAAAATGTCTTTGGAATCATGGACAAAATTAATATAGCATAGAGGAACCAGTAAACTGTCAGGAAGAGGGTGATAATAATCAATATCCTACCTTATTTTGTGTAACTCATAACTAATGAATCAATATACCTATAATAAAAAAAGGAATATTCAGCATAATTTAATCTTTCTCCTATGATTTGAAAGTCAGAGTAAGTACATAAAATTCAGTGTTATAAACAGCAATGACTTATCTATCTAAGTGCAATTAATATAGTTTCATTAGACGAACATTGGACTATATTGTTTATTCTATTAGTATTAGTACTAACAATTCTGTCACCATTTAGTTATCAATACTTATTTAATAACTTCTGGATATATTTTCAGGTTTTATTCTAGCAATGAATTTGAAGGCTACCCTGGAAGAAGAAATATCTATAGGTAATTTATGTCAATATATTCTAATATTTTTATATGGTAATATATGAATGAAAATCTGTCAGAGGCCTGTGGATATATAGAATATTTTTTAAAGCCTGAAATGTAACAAAAATTATATATGAATCAAGGTAAAACATTGAGAGAATGCTGTACACCACATCAGTATAAAAATATACACTTCCCTGGGGTGCCTGGGTGGCTCAGTTGGTTAAGCATCCAATTCTCGGTTTTGGCTCAGGTTGTGAGATGGAGCCCTGCCTCGGGCTTCATGCTCGGCAGGGAGTCTGCTTGAGATTCTCCCTCTCCCTCTCTCTCTGCCCCTCCTCCTGCTCATGCATGCACACGTACTTTCTCTCTCTCTCTCAAATAAATGAATCTTTAAAAAATATATACACCCCCCAAATATTAGCTAACTCAAAATGTTTTCAGGAAAAAAGTCAAGAAATTCTAATGCTGATATAAACATGATACTAAATACTTCAACTAAATTTAGAGGTAATTGCAGACATTCATCCATGTAGCAGCCACTTATTAAGTCCCTACTGTGTACCAGGCATTGTGGTTATTGCCATATCATGTGATTTCTTTTAATATGGTTCACTTTGGCATAAGCCTATTACTATTGGAAGGCATTCATCTCTGTTCCTAAATTAGTGTTTAAGTTGGTCCAGTTGTACCTTGGTGATTGGAATGGTGCCCTCAACAGCCCTCTCTGGATATAGAAGTAAAAGTCATAGTTACCATCAGCTGGTAGTCTGCTATATGTCAGGCACATTTTTATCTACTTTACATATGTAATTTCATTTAGTCCCCACAACTTCGGGAGGCAGGTGATATTGTTAGAGCTAGGATTTTGTACCTGGGCATGCTGACTTAGCCCCCTTACTGTTAACTGCCTACCTAACAATTGCAAGATTGCACCAAAATGTGAACTATAACCAGGGAAATAAGGAATTTTCCCTCTGCTGCATTCCTCTGCTCCCTCCTGGATCGTGAATTCTTATCTATTAGAGAGAATCCCTCTGTAGTGCTAGCGATGTCTCTGGTTCCCATCTACCATGCCCTGGGCCAGGTCAGGGGCAGCAGCAGAAGGAGCACTGCGGCAGCAGATTATTTTACCAGCCAAAACAGACTCTGACCCTGACCCTACCCTGGCATCAAACCATCTAGTCTGCCCCAAATGAGAATCGATTCTGAGGGTTTGGGGTCAGGTCTGGGAGTCTGTATATTAAAGCCAATCACCCCATTCAGGAGCCATGCAGAAGGCTCTGCTGGGGAGAGGGTGGGTCTGACATGGTAGGTACAGGTTGGCTTGTGTAGGAGTGTGGTGGGGGGCAAGCATTCCCAGGAAGAGCTTCTCTGACCCTAACCTTCCTTCAGAAAGGAATGAAAGGCACAGGAGGCACTTAAAAACTATGTTTTTTTTTTTTATTTCCACTTTGCTTATGACTGATTTCCCCTTCCAGATATATGATAAGAACAGCGACCCCTTTCTTGGTGAGCCTGCCAGATTTTCCTTGCCTGTTTTGCATGGGAGTACAATAAGAGAGATGGGAAGATGAAGAACTATGCATTGCCAAGCACTCTGTAAGATGTAAGGGATGAATGGCTATGGGAAGTGGTTACCTCACTCCCATTCAAGGTGTTAGATATTTCTCCCACCTCAGAGGAACTGAAGGGCTTCTCTCTCAAGGCTTGTGCCTCTTCAGGCAAAGATGATTGAAAAATCAGGCTACATCAAAATACTGTAATTCCCCTTCACTTTAAATGATATTGGCAAGAGAAAAATAGAGTGGGTTTGATGTCAATATGTAAATTAGTCATTTTACATGGAGTAGTACATTTTGATAAATACAATCTCAAAATTTCAGCTTAGTTTTATTTTCATTTTCCTCTAGAATTAGCATTGGAAGCTATCCTCCAAGCAAAAAGTGCATTACTTGCCATCTAAGGAAAGAAAGGTGCCAATATTACACAGCAAGTTTCAGTGACTACGCCAAGTACTATGCGCTTGTCTGCTATGGTAGGTAACGGACCCCGAGCTCCACCACCACACTGCCAATGTTGTCGTCATCACCATCTTCCCCTGATCAATCCTAAACTACAGGTCATCGAACACTTGTTATATATGAGGATCTTACCTATGTTATCTTATCTAACGCTTACGGGGGAAAAAAGTGAAAGGAAGATAGGAGAGCATTTTTATCTCAGTATTTTGCAGTTGAGGAAATAGAATGACTCGCAGAGGATCCACACTGCTGGTAAGCAGCAGAGCCAGGATGGGAACAGGGATGTGTTGACGGTAAATCCCAAGCTCTTACCGACTGTGTGCCGCAGCAGCGTGAAGTTAACGTTATAGGCAAACACCATCTACTCGCTATCACAGCAAGACGCGAGCAGGGTCACAGAAAGAAGCATTCTCTGTTAAAACGGTTGCTGGACTTTGGCCCCATTTGCCTGGAGAAATGTCAAACTCTGACAGCCAGGGGAAAGAATAATGTCCTAGAAACCTGAACTCCTTCCCTCGGAGGCCAATATTTCTTTGAATGATAGTTTCAGTGAGGATGGAAAGTAAACTTTTGTCACCTCATATGTTCTTTCTAAATTTGGGAAACATAAGCAATTCATTCAAATAGTAAAAAGTCATAGGGAATAAAATACACCAAATACTTCCTGGTTTTTTAGGCCGTGTGTACATTTAGTTAATAATTTCTATCCAAATAATTTTATTTCGTGCATAACATCTTATCTATTTCTTGAACATACGACAAGCCCTGAAACAGATTGGTTACGAGTCAGTAGATCAGTGAAATATATTGGGGTCTTGGTAAGCATCGTGGAGATTTGGAAAACGGACTTGAGAAATATCTACTTTTCCATTCTCTATCCCACCCCCATAATTAATCCCTGAGTCTCCCTGGTGAGGAACAGCAAACAGAGAATGTTATTACAAAATACATGCCACTCTACTGTTTCTAGTATCAACTCCCAGTGGAAAGCAGCTCAGAGAACAAATGGAATCTTTGGCTGATGGAGCTCCCTGACCAGTTGCAGAAGACCCCAGGTTCTTTACTTCCCAGAAGGAAGGCTGCCCTGTCATGCCACTTTCCTCGTCCCAATCACCTGGCCCCAGAACCCGAGCCCAGGCTCAACTGACTGCAGAGGTGGATGAACATTTTAACCCAAATGCTCCCTTTAAGATGGCACAAGATGTCAGTTTGATACAATTACTTTAACACAGTGTGTTGAGTCAGTGACATCCCTGTTGTTCATGACTGTACGTGCTGATTGTGGTTATGTCACTTAAAGATATATATTAAATGTCCTTCTCAAATTATATGCAACATTCTTCAACCCAAGCTATATATTTATGCAACATATATTGAAAGCTTACATGCCAGGCATATAGTATCATTGAACTAACTATACTGAGTCATCTGTTTGTCTTTCTCTCCTAAAGGCAGAGGCTGCTTTCTTTTCATCTTTACATTCATAAGGCCAAGAAAAATGGCTACTGCACAATAATTACACATAAGGCATAATTGTTGAATGAACATCGGTGCTAAAGAAGATCAAAGCACTATTGCCTTTTGCAAAGCCTAACAAAAAACCTGTTCTTATGCTGACATATTTACCCATAGAGACCTCAGTGACCCTACACTTGCATACATTCATTTATGTTTATACACATTCTGCATTTGTACGATGCTTCAACCCTTTATGAAAGCACGCTGCCACTTTTTATATCACTTTGTCTTCTTATATTTGCTTGAGTCTGAGTGCCCACTGAAAAGATAAGGAAGCGAAGACTAAGCTCTCCTCAAAAGTTGGTGGAAGAGTCCTTTCTAGAACTTGAATCGCCTGACTTTTCCACACTCACTCTTGCTCGGCAGTATGGTAATTTCCCATTTAGCAAAAAATATACTGTGTGGGAAGCATCACATCGTCTGGTGTTTTTGAAGCTCCAGTAAAATGAGTCACTGAGCCATCATAAGAAAAACCTTGAAATCTTTCCCTTTAGGACTAAGAGTAAAGCCTCATTATGTAACTTCAAACTCTCCAAGAGATGGTGAGTAAATCCCAGATAATAGGATCAAATAGGTAAAAATTATCTTCCTGATGCTGACGGAACGGAAGTAATGCAAAGGAGGGACTCCAGACAATTGGTGTTTTGATGCCTCTGTGACCACAGGCTCAGGCCATTTATACCCAGGGTGGCCAGTCATTAGTCTGTCTCAGAATTTGGCTAAAACAGATATGCTAGTTGTCACTCCTGGAGCTGCATACCCATGAAAATTCCATAGGGTGGATGCTGGTTGACGGAAATCAAGAAATTCAGATTCATGTTTCAGTTCCTTACACTCTGACCACAAATATAATATGTGTTCGTCCTTTCTAATAACTTTGAGGAAAAGCTGGTCAAAATGAAAATCTATGAAAATGAAATTATATAAAACTTTGAAACTCCACACAATAGAGAATTATTTTTTGAGACAGGCTAATAAATAGTATCCCTTCTCCTTACTCTCGAGTTCACCTGAGGGTCAGGGAGGAAATTAAAATATTAGCTTTATCACCTGTAAAGGTTACTCAGAATTACAATTACAGGAATATGGGTACGACTAGAACGCCCCTGGCGGCCCCTGCAGGCCCCAGCATTGCCCCACTTAGAGCATGAGGATCCATTCAAGAACAGGCAGAAAGATGCCAGGAACAAAGCAGAAGAAGGAAGTACTTCTATCTATCCAGGTCTTCTGAGAACTCATCAAAAAGGTTACCCCTGCTTCAGCTTGCTTGGGATCTAGGGTGCTACTCTAATGATATTCCACAAAGAAGAAAGAAGCATCAGGAGTGCAAATGAACCTCTACTCCCAGCCTCCATGTTGTTTCTTTTAACCCATCGGCTGACTGTCAGAGCAAGTTTATCCTTTAAAAGCATATTTCCAGGGGCGCCTGGGTGGCTCAGGCAGTTAAGCGTCCCACTCTTGATCTCAGCTCAGGTCTTGATCTCAGGGTTGTGAATTCAAGCCCCATGTTGGGCTCCACACTGGGTGTGGAGCCTACTTAAAAAAAAATTAAAAATTTAAAAAATATATATTTCCAGGTATTATTTTATCCTGTGGTTCAAGTAAGTTGGAGATAATTAGTGTGTGATTATGTACAGATCTTGCTAAAATGGCCAGTTTCTGCACAGAGCACCTGAGTTCCATGCTGTAATATGTAGTGGACACTGGTGTGTCACCCAGAACCCCCCACTTCCAGGCCGAATTCCTCATTTCGCTAGCTGCTGAGAGTGCTGGTGGCCGCCAACAGCTCACAGCTGAGCTCCCACCCTGGGAATCACTCTCATCCCCTGCCACATCCGATGACTGCTCCAATCTGGGGTATAAAAGCCAGCCCTGTTGGTACATGGAGGCCATTCTGCAGGCCATCCAGAGCTCCCTGTGGGGTCGGCTAAGGTTTGTGTTTTGACTGCACTAAAGCCCACCTTCCCTTACCACCTCATCCTTCCTCTCCCGGAAGTGAGCATCCTCATACTACCCCCAGAAAAATCTCTGGCCCACAAAACTTCTGGGTCTGTTTCCCAGGGCATGTCACCTGCCACAGCATACAGGTAACAAGATTCTATACAAATTTATTTCTGCCTCTATTAATTACATGGGGTGGGGGGAAAGATGCTGGGTTCCACCCACCAAAATACACTGAACATTGGACCAAGAAGCCAGACTGAAAGTATCATCTGGGTGCCGGTGAAGGTTATTGGATAATAAAGACACAGCTAACGCTAACCCATACAACATGATGTCTTCTCAGAGGGCCATGTATCGTGGCAGATCCTGGGGGCCATTTGTGTAATGAGATCTGGACTATTCGGGATCACTCCTGGAAAAGTGCTCAGGCAACTCTTCTCTCACAGCTGTTCTTTGATTGTGTTCTGATCTCATGTGTTGTTTAAATATAACTTAAAATGTGGTATTTGCTTCTCCAAGGGGGGAAAAAAAACAGCTGTAGAATTAAGATATACTTGACCTTGACACTCATCACAAATATGACCATTTTCTTATTGGAAACTCAGTGTTATTTTAAAGCTTAAGCATGTTTTTGTTTTCATCCTGTGCACAGGCCCAGGCCTCCCCATTTCTACCCTTCATGACGGCCACACCGATCAAGGTATGCTCACTTGCATGCTGTTGTCTAAAGAAATCCTGAACTCTGGGTGACATTATACTAGAGGCAGCAAGACAGTTTCCCCACACCAACAAGGGGAACTGTGATGGAATCCTGTGGTCATAGAGCTTATTGTCACATAGACTTGGATATTCTTTGAGTCAAACCTGATCCTCTGAAATTTAATAATTATTTGCAGTAAGAACCTGGCATAACACAGATGAGTTATGTCACAGGAATTCATGCTGTCTTCCCCAGTCAGCCTTATAAAAAACACAGAAGCTTAGCATTGGAAGGAAACTAGGGATATTTAGTACAACCTCCCTCCCAAATAAGAATTCCTGCTTTGATGCAGCATTCCAAAGTAGAGACAAAATACAGATCTAAGTCCAGTTCAAAGCAGAGGGTGTCTGACTATCACGCTGGCTTTTTTGTTCTAACAGCTACATCACACTGTTGCTACAAATGAAATCCCTGAAATTTAGAGTCTTTTCCCATTTTCAACTATTATCAAGACAGTCCTCCTCCATCCCGTATCTGTGATATTTGTTCAAAATAGCTCACAGATCAAAGATGACCGTCTTTGCTCTCGGCAGAGTGATCCGAATGTGTGATTGCCCCCATACTCTTCCTGCAGTTCCCCCGTTGTCTTTTGATTTACTATTGAACAACGTTATAGGGTTGAAGTTGATGGAGATGAGGGACAATGAGGGACTTCAGGACTCGCGCCTGTGATCCTCCCCAGACAGCTTTGGTGACAAGTCAGGAGACTGCTCCAGGATTAGTTTGACTGCCAGCTCAATGGCTCAAGTAAAATAGGTGAAAATAAGGTAATGAGAAAAAATAGTCAATTCGGAAGCTCTGGGCAGGACAGGTATTGTAATACAGGAACTGTGAATTTAGTGCCATTTTGAAGTTGTTTTTTTGTTTGTTTGTTTGTTTTACCTCATGTCTAATAATGAAATACCTTTAAAGAATAAAAGATTGTATTTCTCAGTATGGCTCATCTCAACCTTGAGTAAGAGACATTTTAAAGCAATACTACATTCAAATCTGAAAGATTTTATTTTAATGGAAATTCCCATAAATGTATGATTCCCATTTTATCATGACTGCTAAAGGTCAGCCTCCCTTTTTTCAGAGCATGAATTTCCACTTTCTTATTACCCTTCTCCTATCCCTGCCAGATACCAATTTCGGTACCGCATACAAAAATGTTTTTACTTCACCCAATACTTACAAAATAGGTGCAGTGCTCATGTCACTCTCATTTCTCATATGTATTTATATGTTTTCTAACCCTCGAATAGAATGCGATTTTTTTAGAACACAGTTCTGCAAACTCGCCTCGTGATGAAACTCTCCAGAGATATTTATTATAAATACAGATGCTCAGGTCCTCCCCAGAAATTCCAGTTCAGTGGATCTGAGATTGGGCTGCAGAATCTGAATCTTTAATAAATTTCCAGATAAGCTGCTTTTTAGAGCAGATGCTGGGTCTTCTATTTGTAGGGGTTTTTTTTCCACCCGTTTTCCTTTGCATTTGGTGCCAGAAATCTTTATTCAACAGATATTTATTAAGCACCTATCACATTAAGCCAGACACTGTGCTAGATACTAGATTCTTAAAATTAACAGATACTGGGTTAGATATGGTCCAAGTCCTCAAGGAGATTATAGATCAATGGGGAATGCAGACATGTGAGTGGGTAATACAGTGAGGACACAATTAGGATGGGGGAAATAGAGCAGGAAAGCACATAAGCAGGGTGCTGTATCTGGGGATTGGGGGTTAGGAAATGTCTCCTAATGAGAGATACGTCAAACTGGAAACTCACAAATATAAAGGAGGGATTAATGCTGCTTGGATGTCCGGCTTGGTCAAGTGGATTGATACTGATGCTTTTTACTGAAGGAGGGATTCACAGCCAAAAGAATGTTTGAAATGATGAATTTTGTTTTTGATGTTGAGCTTGAGGTGCCAATGGGATATCCAAGGGAGCCATCCGAAGTGACAAAGTTTTGGATCTGGACATTGGATTGAAGATGTGGAGCAAGAACTCCCAAATTCATTAATTTATGAAACCCATGGTTACTAAGACCGTGGAAGTGGATAGGAACACAGAGTAGGAATAAAACTGTGCAGAATACCAACATGAGAAATGGGTAAAGAAAAATGAACCTATGAAGGAGACAGAGAGGGGGACAGAAGGAGGGTAACCTTGAGAGTATGGTGTCATAGAATTCAGGGAGGAGAGGGTCTCAGGAAAGAGGAAGGACTCATCTGTGGCAAGTGCTACAGAGAGTGAAGTGAGACCTGCTCTAAATCAATGAATTTAGCAAGAGGGAGATTACCATTGGCTTGGCCAGACCAGTTTCAGAGAAACAGTGGAGGTGGGAGCCAGATGGAAGCAAGTTTAGGCTTGATTGGACGTAAGTAAAAAGAATATTTTCAATAGGTCTGCCTAAGGAGTGGAGGAAAGAGGTGGGATGATGGCTGGAAGCAGTTGATAGAGGTTTAATTTTGCTTTTGAAAGATAATAAACATTTGAGCATGGTTAAATGCTGATGGAAGAAATCAGGAGACCAGAAGGGGTCAAAGACATAAAGGAGGGAGGTCTCCAAAAAAGTTGGGAAAAAATGGAGTCCAGGGGCAGGTGGAGATTCATCGCTGGCATTGTGCTGAGCAAGAACGGAGAAATTACTAATGCAGCTGTATGAAAGTGTGTAGACGTTGCAGAAAACAGTGCAATGGCTTCATTTTATCCGCAGAGTAGGGTAAGGTCATTTGAAAATAACATAGGACCTGAACCAGGTGCTTTAGAAACCCAGAAGGGTAGGCACTTAACATAGACATCCCAACAGACGCTTAGTTGCTTCAGGCACAACAGGTGCTCATTACAATTACCCAACTGATCGAATGACCTCATTTATCAGCTTTTCCACAGATTCTTCACATAATATAATTAGTGAGTAACATATAGTAGTTCATATAATTAAAACAAAAAAATTCTTACATGATCCATCATTCTTTTTTTATTTCATCATAATGAAGAGTCCACAAATAAATGGAAAGCATATACTACATATATATCGTGTACTAGGTACTAAGTATGCTAGGTACTGAGTATAGAATGATGAGTGATAAAGATGAAAGGTGCTCTGGGTGGTAGCACTCCTTCCATGTTATATGCTTTTAATGCAAAGCTACATAGAGAAGCCCAGTCGGCACCGCCACTGCCGACAGTCCTAAGAAATCCCATTTTGCTCCAAGGGGTGGGAAAACTACCAAGTTAATTTACTAATGCTTCTCTGGACTATAGAGCATTAATAAGCTTATAAATTAACTTTGGCATTTCAGTAAGCCATGAATCAGGAAAGTTCAATAGCTAGGAAAGAATGGAGGAATCAAAGTCTAACCAACCTAGCAACACTTGTGTATAGTCTCCGACTTCTGGTACCTGTGGTAAAATGATAAAAGTAAATAAGTAAATAATAAATATAATAATAAGTAAAATATGAAAATAAATAAATAAGCAATTATAATGCAGTCACTCTGTGTACTTGCTCCACACAGGATTCCCTTCATCCGTACTAGCTCCACACACAGAACCCACACAAGGAGAATGAAGAGCTGACTCCATTGTACTCAGAATTGTATATTTGGTGGGGGTTTTTTTGTTTTGTTTTTTGGGGTTTTTTTGTTTTGTTTTGTTTTAACTTTTAAGATGCCACAAGTATCTCTTTCCTGATGGATTATCCAAAGTTAAAATGAAATTTATTATGTATCTTATACAACTCATACCAAAACATCTATACTTGTTCTAAGATTAAATATAACATGTTGGAACAAAATGCCATGAGTATATGAAAACTGAGAGTTACAAGGGAAATGGTTTGGCAAACTTACTGTAGTTACAAGTATTTCTCCAGTTCCTTATCTTCAAGGACCACTTTTAAAAAAGGCACAAAAACAAGAAGATCACAGGATGTCTTTTGTAAAAACTGCCATATCTCAGAAGTCATCCAGACCTTCTTTTAAGAAAAATAAATCGACAAACTCTACATGTTACATGAAAGTCTATAACTTTTCTCTAGAAGATAACTAGTATCAATTCTAGTTCAAAATAAAACTTGCAAAAAAAAAAAAACCCTCAATTGCTAGAAACCCATTTGCATATACCACCAAACTACAGCATCAGGAGATCAATGGATTGTTCAGTTTCAAAGATTAAAGTGTGAACATAATTAAGCTCAAATATAAGCAGCAGGTTTTTTGGAGATCCTTTAAAGTGAAAAACAGAAAGAGATCAGAGCGTGCATATATTGTTATTTTACTAAGATGTATAACTACCTTGACAAAAATGATCTGAAGGGATATGATGTGCAATAATTCAATTACCAAAAAAAGGAAGAATATCCTATATTAATTAAGTACAGCAGGAAAAGATTTAAAAAGAAATATATGTTGGGGTGCCTGGGTGGCTCAGTCAGTTCAGTGTCTGACTTGCTTTTGGCTCAGGTCATGATTTCAGGGTTGTGAGATGGAGCCCTGTGTCTGGCTCCACGCCGGACATAGAGTCTGCTTAAGATTCTCTCTCTCCCTCTGCTTCTACCCCTCCCCCCTTCTCTCTCCTTCCCTCTCTCTAAAATATATATATATATATCCTATATTAACATATATTATAAAATGTTATATATATCTTATATATATACATATATATATCACAGAAAAAGTATGTCACAGAAAAAGTATTTGACTTTACACATTGAAAATTTAAAAAAACAAATTTCGTGACTACATAACTAATTGTTTTTTAAAGATTTATTTACTTATTTGAAAGAGAAAGAGAGATCGTGCACGCATGAGCAGGGGCGGGGTGGGGGGGCAGAAGGAGGGAGAGAGAGGGAATCCAAGTAGACTGCCTGCTGAGCCTGCCCTGAGGTCATGACCTGAACCAAAATCAAGAGTGGGATGCTTAACTGACTGAACCACCCAGGCACCCGTATTTTAATTTGAGGTTTCAGCAATATAGATTTTACTTCCACTACTTTTTTTTTCTTAGTAGATGATAAAAAATAGTCACCTACTCAGGTCATAGCTTCATGTTAGAAAAGTTGGAGATGGGAAAATATGGTGAATAAACATTTTTGCCTCTGTGATTCTGCTCAAAATGTGTTTTGATGCCATAAAGAACAATTCAGGAGGCAATGATTAATGTCCTCATAAACTCATACCTGCTTTAAAGGCTGGGTTAAAAATATGCTTGTCAATATAGAATTTCTTATACATTTCCTTATACAGTTTCAGTTTCATCTATACTAAACCCAAAAGAATTTTAAGAAAGGAATTTTCTTATGGAATGTTATTAATTGAAAATGAACATTTTGTTTTTTTAAAGAAATTAAAATCCTGGAAGAAAACAAAGAATTGGAAAATGCCTTGAAAAATATCCAGCTGCCTAAAGAGGAAATTAAGAAACTTGAAGTGGATGACATTAGTAAGATCTTTTAAAAACTTCTCATTTACAAATATGAAGCTGAACACTTACCTTCCTTTTAAAAAATAAAGTATAGGGTAAATATAGTCCAAACCCTATAATATTAAAGGTCTTAAGTAACACAATCTTACTGTAACAATAGAGTTTCACAAAAGATCTTTAATGTTTGTAAATAGAGGTGATCTTATACTTTGCTGTAGCTCCATTTCAACACTGATATTTTTTTAAAAGGAGTTTATCTAATTTTAATTTTAGAATGTATGCTTCTAGAAAAACAATAACTCAAGATTGCCAGTAATTTATAAATTTGGCAAAAATATGTAATAAAAATCAACTTAAAATATATTCTTGATTTTTTAGTTTACTAGTTATGAATTAATTTTATGTTATCTTGTTATTAAAGAAAATAAATAATGCTATAAATATAGTGGAATGAAGATTTTTCTTTTTTTTTCCCCCCCAAGCTTTATGGTACAAGATGATTCTTCCTCCTCAATTTGACAGATCAAAGAAGTATCCCTTGCTAATTCAAGTGTATGTAATATTTTCTTTGGTGTAAAAACTATTTACTGAAAATATGTTGAATTAAATACACATTTATGAGATAGAATGAACCATTCTCCTTGGTAACAGTTCCTATTGATGCTGTTTTTATATATTCCTCAACTAATCAGAGTAAATAAAATATGGCTATTTAAAATAGATTGAGGAAGTTTGGGGGTTTTAGATGGACTGGCTTGCATTCGCTGTCTTGAATTTCCTTTGTATGGCAAATTGCCGAATGTGTCAGAATACCTTTGAGATAGAGAAATTGCAGCCAAAAAATATTGTAAATCATCTTAATGTCTTATGTAAGTGAGTTAGAAATGAAATAAGGGAATGGAATACATTTAGTGGAATCACACCCAAAATCAGTGCTGACCTACACACAATTTGCTTAAAACACCATGCATTTTTTTTAGTATATCTTATGCCTGCTTTTAGCAAGTGGCAGGTGGCAGAAATGACGAAAAACCCACACATATTCCTTGAAATGCCAACCCTAGATGTATCCGTTTTGGGGAATAGGAGAGGCTGTGTCCCAAAACAACTTCCTTGTAGCAAACCTCTGGGAAAAGCCTGGTCCTCTCTTGATTTTGAGCCAGTTCTAATGCCACTGTTATTGAAATTTTATCATGCAAATGTACTGGGAAATACTAAAGGCAATTCTTAGCCATGATGTGAAGTTGAGTTTTACCAAGGAATCCAAGATTCTTTCTGTTGTGTTTTGTTTTGTTTTTTTCCCTTTAGGTATGGTGGTCCTTGCAGTCAGAGCGTAAGGTCTGTATTCGCTATTAGTTGGATTTCTTATCTTGCAAGTAAGGAGGGGATAGTCATTGCCTTGGTGGATGGCCGAGGAACAGCCTTCCAAGGTGACAGACTCCTGTATGCAGTATATCGAAAGCTGGGTGTTTATGAAGTTGAGGACCAGATCACAGCTGTCAGGTGAGCTCTTCTCATTCAAACAGAGATTGGTGTGCAACAAAAGTCATGCAATCATTGCTGGGTTTCTCCATCTTTAATGATTTCATTCTTTTTGTCTATTTTCCTCACTTCATTTAAAGTTACCATTAATCTTAAAGAGATATTTTGGCCCAATATGAGAAAAGAATTACCGATGGAAAAGAGCTAATAAATGTGTAGAAACATGATTTATAGTGATAAATAACAAATAACTCTCTTTCAATATTTCAGTCATTCTGATACCCTTTCATTTATTCCCATGGTTCACACACAAAAAATTGTATAACTCTAGGGATGGTCTATAGGCAATCAAACATCTGAATTTGCTCAAGCGTTGTGGATTCTAGCTCATAAATTTAGAAATGCCTCAAGATTTCATCAACACTCTGTCCTTATAGATACTAGGCATTCTTTTGTAATTAAGCTAAATGTGAACTTTGGCTGTGTTAGTATAAAAGTGTTTTCCTGTTTTCATTTGACAAAAAAATTCATTTTATGTAATACAAATTATATAATGAAAACATTCATAGGGAAGACAGACTCATAATCTGAGTTCTTCCCAACTACATTCTCAACCATAATTTGTGTCTCCACCATCTTTTCTGAAACAAAAAGAATATAGTCACCAAAATCGTTGTTTATTTGCAAGTACTCTGCAGGATTCTTCTGGATATTTCTCTACAGTTGTTGGGTTTCTGTTGTTATGTTGTGCATATGTGAAGTTAGAGAACGGTAGTTTATAAATGTAAAAGCTAACACAGGCCAGTTGCACACTTAGTCATGGATGTATATGTGTGTGTAACGGCCTACGTTCAAACACTGTTTCACAGCAAAGAGCAATTTAGAAAATTCATTAGTAAATTCCTTTGATCATCTTAATGTCATTAATAGTTACTGATTTCAATATAACACACACAATGAAGATTGAATTTGACAGCTAGGAGCTAGGCCCAGACAATACTTTTCTGTATTTTTGTCTCTAATAACAGCAAAAGAGTTTAGACTCACAAGTAATTATTTTTAAAAATGGGAAAGTAATCATAACCCATATGTTTTCAAATCTTCCTTCCATTCTGTGAACAGTAATATACACACACTTACATACAATATTCAATTAAAACCAGTCTATTTGAGTAAAATCTGACAAATAAATAAGTAGATTATTAAATAACACTGCACAATCTGTGGCCATTATTCATGCCTAATTTCTAGGAGGCTCCATCTTTCTTGCTGATCCAGATTTTTGGCCTGTCTGCTATTAACCTCTTTAGGAGAATCTTCTGCCTGATGGAGAGAGAGGCATAGAAGAGATAACCCAAAGAAAAATCTACCAAGAGATCAGTTTCTCACAGAAAGACTATGGTGTGCCTTGATGGAAATATGAACACTGCTGTCAGTGTTATAGACCTAATTCTTTTTTTTTTTAAGATTTTATTTGTTTATTTGACAGAGAGAGACACAGCAAGAGAGGAAACACAAGCAGGGGGAGTGGGAGAGGGAGAAGCAGGCTTCCTGCTGAGCAGGGAGCCTGATGCGGGGCTTGATCCCAGGACTCTGGGATCATGACCTGAGCCAAAGGCAGATGCTTAATGACTAAGCCACCCAGGCACCCCTGGACCTAATTCTCTAAGGAATTTTTTTTTTTTTTTTTTTTGGTACTGTGGGTCACATCTATTTGTACTTAAGCCATGCAATAAACATCAAGGGCATGCAACCATGGGACTACATTAAAAGCCAGATGTGGAGGGTGCCTGGGTGGCTCAGTTGTTAAGCGTCTGCCTTTGGCTCAGGTCATGATCTCAGGGTCCTGGGATCAAGTCCCACATCGGGCTCCCTGCTCAGCGGGAAGCCTGCTTCTCCCTCTCCCACTCCCCCTGCTTGTGTTCCTGCTCTCGCTGTGTCTCTCTGTCAAATAAATAAATAAAATCTTTAAAAAAAAAAAAAAAGAAAAGCCAGATGTGGATTACACCTCATTTGTCATTCAACCGGATTTTTCCAAAGTTGGTAGAGCTAAAAAGTGGTTTGTTTTGGCACTGGTCGAAAAACAAACTTATCATCATCATCACATCACAATCTACTGATGACAGCACAATACATCATCATACCTTTGAGTGCACTTATTTACAGCCCAAATTGCAGCATTTGAATTTAAGAATACCTCAAGAAACAGAACAGATAGCTTCTTATCGTGTTTCTTGGATGGAATGAAAATTTAAACCTGAAACCCATGGAGAGGCCTTAACGAAAATTGTTATTTCTGATGTTCAATATATAGGACATGAAGCCACAAATTGTACCAATTTTCACAATAATATAAATGTCTTTGGCATTTAAAATTGAAGATAGACCAGAGGCAGTAGTTGGCTACCTTTACCTTCTCTGAGCCATTTTTAGGATGGAATCTGAAGAAAGTCTTCCTGCTATAGAGCAGGCATATGTTCACTCATTTGCTCAGCCATTGAACAACAACAGATCAAATATTAATATATGCCACTGCAATCCACTCTGTATGAAATTGTGCAACTTACAATTTCTACTTCCAGTGCACTTACAATCCTTGTAAAAGGGTTAACACCCCCACCGCCCACCCCGCAGTCTGAAGGGATGACATTGCTGTTAGATGGAACTTTTAGTAAACAGCCTAGTGAACCAAGGGTGGCTGTGTGGCCCATGCAAAGCATATACACAACAGTGGAGATGCACTGGGGGCTGGCCTTGCTTTGCTTGAAAGCATCATTCTGCAAAAGTGAAAGGGATGCCTTGGAACCCAATGCTTTGAGAAAACAAAAGCTAAAAAGGATAGATTTATAATGATTATCCTGGGAATAATTCAACCACATGTCTGCCAAGAAATGTTTTAGGAATCAGACACTGAATGTCTGACATGGGAATTGGGATTGTAATCCCTTTATGGTCGCCCTCAAATTACCTTCCCACAAAAGAATAAAATGTGTCCCCTTCAATCTCATATAAAATGCAATTTGGCTAAATTTTTTACATACCAAAAGGAAATCATGTGTGCATATTTGGAAATAGCAGTAAATACTACTCAGGATCAATAAATAGATTTAAACAAAGCAAAGCAGGGTTAAAAGAAGAAGAAGAAGAAGAAGAAGAAGAAGAAGAAGAAGAAGCAGCAGCAGCAGCAGCCAGACAACCTCACAACTTTGACTACACAAAAGAGAATGCTTCAAAGGAGATGCTTGTGAGGTCAAAGCGTAAGTGAAACTGGGAACTGTTTTCATCAGGCTTCCCTGCAAATGGTACATAAGTGGGACCCATAAAACTTCGTTAGTTATAGGGTCAGTTCTACTCATTTGGGGTATATTTGGCATTTTTTGACATTCCCACATTTCCCACAATAACTAGAAGGTTGGTGGTGAGAAAATATCATATCATACTGTTATAGATGGCATCAATAAGAACAATTCCAAAATAGAATAATAATTGATCCCTAGGATTCCAAATTGACCTTTGGTCTAGGGCCGTTTTTATGCGAGAGAAGTTGTAAAGTTCAGTCCAGCCTCCAAAATGCTTTTTCATTTGTTACTAACATTTTTCTTTATTTAACCACATTATCAACAGTGTTTCTGATAACCCTTCTGAGAGCGTTTCAGAATTTGGAGGTAAATTTTATGGCGCCTTTTTGGCCTGGAAGTGCTCAGATTATCTAGCTAACCTTTAACCTAGTCCTGCCACATTAAGTGTTAATGTTTCATTTCCATGTTAACTATTGCACTATCATTTCTTGTAAATGTCATCCTTCCAGAATAAAGCGAGGAAGGGAGCTGTTAAGAATTTCCTGCTCCCATGTATCACCTGCTATTTGCTTTTACCCCAGATGCAAGGCAATATGATTGCTAGCTTCTGGGAGATCATAAAATCGAAATTGATTTTATGGCTCAGAACTGTCTTCCAGCGGTAGTGGAAAGATTTTTTTTTCTAACAAAGAAAGTGAACCTTTTTCTCTTTTATTTGGCTTTTGAAGTTAATGGAAGAATTGCTGAAATGCCACAGTTTGCTGCACATTTTCTCTGTTTTACCATGAATAGCATCCACACAGGTAGCAACTTTCCATTTGCTGCTGCATTTCTTCCCCGTAGACTCCTCAGTGTCCCTCAGAATTGGTGTAGGGTAAGCTGTGACTGACGGGGCTTCTTCCCATCTGTTGGTCCCGGGCATTTGCCCAACTCCTCTGTGCATTGGAAACGTGCATGTTGAATCAATGCAACGAGCAAAATGGTTGCTGTGAAATCCCTATAAGAAACTCCATTATTCAACTAATAAAACCATTCCATTTTACTTCCAGAGAAGAGTGAGAAGGGGCATTAACATAACTAAAGGGAACAAAAAAATCGTATTTTTCTGGCTCCCTGTGTGTTACTTTGTTCTCCTCCCCTCCTTCCTGCTACTGTCGCATCCCGGTCTCTGCAATGGCTCATCCCCCTTATTTTTTTTTCTTCCACTGCTTCTGTTTTTCTTAGAATTCCCTGAGTTTTGGGAATCAAACCATTCCCAAAATAAATCACAATTGCTCTAGAACACCAACCCTCAAGGAGGCATGGGATAAATTAGCCTAAAACATTCCTATCTCGTACCAGCTTTGCAAAGTTGCATTTCTGAGGGCTTCCCATGACTTTTTAAAGGTTGCCCTTCAGCATGGTCCCTTGCTCCTAAGAAGATATTTATTTTCAAAATAGTTTTCAAAGGGAGGCCCTTCTATGATGGAACTCAAATTAATAATGTCCATATCCTAAAAGACACGCATAATTATCCATACCATGATAAATTGAGGATACCTAAGTATGAAATGGGAGAGGGATGGATATTATTCCATGGATGCCAAAATGAGGTGCTGATTATCATTAAGATCTAAGCATTTAAAAAGATTGATAAAATTTAAAGCAGCAACAACAAAAATCTTTTTTTCCTCAAATCTGGGGATTTGGAAATTTGGTCCTAGCTGTGGTGCTATGACTTCCTGTGTTACTGTAAGCCTGGGCCTTCACCTCTCTGAGTCCCAAGGAACTCACTCACACAATCAGGATGCTAGACCTGCAGCCCTAGAAGTACTACTCAACAGATGTACAGTAGAGTCTAAAGGATATGTTTTATCCTTTGCAGAAAACACGATAATATTCTTTTAATTATTTGTAAGTGCAGTGTTATTATGCATGTGTTTAAACAAAGAAAATGGAGCATTTCTATTAAATCTTTGGATTAAATATGCTTGTGTAATGAAGTAAATGTCATGTGTACACACTTAAAATTCTAAAAATTTGTTTCTTTTACTTTAGAAAATTCATAGAAATGGGTTTCATTGATGAAAAAAGAATAGCCATATGGGGCTGGGTGAGTTGTTTTATATGTTTTATGCCTGTTATTCAGTTCAGCAATCATAATTTTCTAAAGTGTGTGCTTATAAGGTTTCTCATGAAATGTTAATGTTGCAACATCGTTTAATCTGTCAATGGAAACAGTCAGTTTAGATAATCTAGGCTTAAAAGTGGTGGCTTTAAGTGTTCCTTTTTTCCAATCATTTAGTTTCTTCCTCATATAGCAAACTAACTCATAATTGACACATTTTTACTTATTTTTTTTGTGTTATAGTATACTGCACTGAACTATATTCATCAGAGGTGTAATTTCTTTTGTTATTTTAGAGTTAATATATATCTTTTCTATTTCATCATTTCATTTTTATGAAAAGCTAAGCTAACGTTTGAAATCACAGGAACTTTTAAAATATAAATTCCCTAGTACCTAGCCTATCCCAGGCATACCTTGGCTGTTTTGATTCCTTTTTTTTTGTAAACAAATTATTTTACCAGGACTAATATTAATTTGTGCCAATGGGAAAGAAGTATAATTTAGTTTCTGAGTTATAGGTCATGGAGATAATTGCCCGTATTTGAGGAGTTATGCAGTTTTTCAAAATACACATAAAAAGGAAGTGGCAAAACTTCCCAATCATGGGCAATGAAGTCACTGGAAAGTTTAGAGAAATATTGGAAAGAGTTTAGATTTGCCCATTATAAATTATGATAATTACCCTTCAAAGAAGATTTCCTGTTTCACTTTTTGGTCTGAATTTGTACATTTGCAAGTCAATTTGCAGCCGTTTGTGCTTGGGTTGTTTTTCTTGGCTGTTTTCTCTGAGAGCGGCCTGCACAAGATGGAGGGAATGAAACCCAATATTGAAGGGAGTCTGCAGGCTCCGGCTCAGCTCTCAGCTCAGTGACCAGATGAAGAGCTGTTACGAATTTGTGGAAAGTTGTTACTTCAAGCCATTTGGTCCTTCTTAAAACTATCAAATGTTAAATATCTAAACAGAATGGAATTCAAATGGGTGGAAATAAATGAAATATTTTTATAGTGAAATATTTCAGATAAGATCTCTTCTACCATCCATTTTTATGAAATTTCCTAAAGTAAATTTTTGAAAGATTCAGATTTCATGCTGAACACTTACATATAATTATTAACATTTCTCTTACAGTTTTACTTTGCTTTTATTTCAGGCTTTGAAATAACCATAAAGTGGAACTTTTAATTTCATTTCTAGAACATCCTGATATTAGTTCGGTAGAGAATCATTTATGTGGGATGATTTAAAGAACCCACTCAGCACCCCAAAATACATCCGTATCAGTCTGAAATTCTTCAATTAGAGATTCTCACCATGTCTATGCAAATGCTTCTAGGAGACGGAGTATATTATGTCCCCTTTATTGCTTACTTTCCAACAAGGCAGTGATTGTGAGGTAAATCCTGAGAGCATGCGTAGAAGAAGGAATAAGTGAACTGCCAATGGATGCAACATTTGACCAGCCCCTAAATCAGCAGGACCCAGAAGATCCCGAGGGGAAAAGACCTTAATACTATACTGGTCTTTTTTTTTCATCAATTCTTTATGATTTATTTAATCCATCCATCTGATCACTGACTCATGCATTCTTACACCAATGTAGTAAATTTTTATTGAATCTCAACTAGGTCTTATATTAGGTTCTTTGGAAGATGAAAAGATGAGTAAGTTATAGCTCTGGCCCTCTATTAGATAAAACAGCAAAAAAGCAATTGCTCAGCAATGTTCCAAGTGTTAAGACAGATACAATTTGTGGTGGAAAACACCAGGGAGCAGAATAGTTAATCCTGGCTGTGAGAGCTAAGGGGAGATTCAGAAATGAGGTAGTGAAGATAGGTCAATAATGGTGCATTCCAGTGAATGAAGACAGCCTTGACAGGGTCCTGAGGTAACAATGAGTAGGGTGTGGTTGGTCTGGATGCTGGAAACTTCAGACGCATAAGGCATGTAGTGAGGAAGGTGAAGGAAAGGAATTTGGGTAGGGAGTCAGCCAGCTTAACAGGAGGCCTTTTAGACTGCATACAGGAAAATAGGCTCTATCTGTAGATCTGCGACACATTTCTCTTATTTTTCTATGTCTCCATGATCATTACACTCCATTTATTCTTTATTTTTGTATTTATTTATTTTTAAAATTTTCCATTCATTCTTTAAATGTCAATGTTTTTCAGGGTCTGGCCATGGCTCTCATTGTTTTTCACTTCCTTGGGAAAACCCGTGTAATTTCAAAGATGGTGCTGACTCTCAGATCCCTGTCACTAGCCCCCATCTCTCTTCTGAGCTCCATGTTCCAAATGCTCACTGACCATCTATCCCAAATGTCTGACTGGAGCCTTAAGCCTAACCTACACAAGCTAAACTTGTTATAGTCTACTTAAAACAAGTCCTCATCTTTATTAAAGGGCCTCACCACACACCCAGTCACCCAAGTTAGTAAATTCAGAGCGATTTTCAACTTCTCTTGTTCCCTGACTCCAACATGCCATTGGTTAGTAAGTTCTGTCAATTCTACCTTCAAACATCTAAATCTGTTCTCATCATCCCCACTGCCAGTGCCTTAGTTCAAGTTTCTTCATATGTAATTTAGATCAGACCTTCTCAAAATTTAGCTTACATAAGCATCACCTGGAGAACTTGTTGAAACAGTTTCCAGGACCCTACCACTAGAGATTCTGATTCAGTAGTCCAGGGTGAGCCCCAAGGATTTGCGTTTCTGACAAGATCCCAGGTAATGCTGATTCTTTTGGTCCATGGACCATTGGGTGGTACCGGTTTAACTATTACAGTTGCCTCTAGTTGTTTAACTATTACAGTTGCCTCTTAACTAGCCTTCCTGCTTTGACCTCACAAGCTGCAATGTTGCTAATGAAGTTGCTATTCCAAAACACAATTCCTCCCATGATGCTTTTCTGCTTATAAGCTTATATATTCTCTAAGGCCACATATTGACCTTGACCTGGTGCCCAAACTTATTTCCTTGCATGCAAAGCCCTTGACAATCTGGCTGTAACCTGCTTTTCTGGCCTCATCTCTTTCCACTTTTCCCCCACGATTTATGAATAATTTGACTTTTCCCTGCAACCTGAAATGTGTCCATCTTCTCCCATTCTGCTCCTCTTCTTCCAAAATGGAAAACTCCTACTTACTCTTTAAAACCCAACTCAGATATGACTTTCTTTGTTCTCCAGTAGTTCTTTATACTGCTCTTCTAGGAATTATCACATGTTATTTTGTCTATCTATTGATTTCTCCCATGAGAATGTAAGCTCATTGAGGGAATGGACTTTGCATTTTTTTAAATTATTTTTCTCAAATGTTTAGCATAATACTTGGCCATACCATACACCAATGATGTTATTTAAACTAAATTTAATCCTATAAGTCAGTGTTCCCCCAAATGTATCTTATTAATACTAAGGACTTTTTCAGGAAAAGGTCCGCTGGGTTTAATAATTCGGTAAATCATGAATTCTACATAACAGTGTATATCGGCTTGGTGAAAGGACAGTAAAGAATCCTGTTAAATTCTGATTAATATAGTATTACCAAAAGGTATTTGATTCCATGGATCCTTTTTTGAAACATGCTCTTGAAGTCAATAGGGAATAGAATTGGTGTCTTAGAAAGATACTCTTGGCCACAGGGCAAAGGATGGTCTGAGGTGGGGGAGGGAGTGGGCCAAGGATCTAGGGAGCAGTAATATTGGCCACAAATACCAAGGGCCTGAATTCAGACAGTGAAGTAGGAGGTGGGAAGAGGTCAGAGCTTCAAGTGTTGTTTTCTAGTATAATAAACAGGGACCTGTGGAAAACTGGAGATGCGGAAGAGGAAGATATTGAGAATGACCATGAGCGTTACTTAGCCATTATTGTGTCTCATATCAAGGAAGAAAGTATTTGTTTCCATGAAGCGTTAGGCAGGTTAGCAGTCTGAGACATATGCTAAAGCTGACCCCATACATTTTTGGTAGTCAGTTGGCAAATAAGCTGCAAATCTTATGTTTGCTTCTATAATCCTGATTAAGAAGGGGAAAGGAAGCATTTTTATCTTACCCTTTTGTATTTCTGGCTCACACAAACCAAAATCCAGTAGCTCTGTTCTTGGCTGTTTATTAGATATCCACTAATCCCCCAGGACCATGCCTAGGATGTGTCTGCTATACCCGGTTCTTCACCAGGCCATCTTGCACCTCAGGGGACATTTTGCAATGTCTGGAGTCATTTGTGGTTGTCACAACTGGGGGAGTGCTACTGGCAGCTAGTGAGTCGAGGCCAGAGATGCTGTTAAATATCCCACAATGCACAGGACAGGTCCCCACAAAAAAGAATTACCCAGCCCAAAATGTCAACCATGCTGAGGTTGCAAAACCCTGGTTGATGTGAAGAAAAATTGGAGTAATTATTCTGACAATTGAAGAGCAGCAGGGGTTTTGCCTAAATTATTAGAATAACAACCTCATTCGTGGGCCTTGCTTTGTTAATATAGGCCTAGCCAGGTGGTGTTGAATAAGCATTAGTTCATGATTTAATCTTAGTTCCTTTCTCTTCCAGTGACTAATTATAAGCAATTTGAATTGCTATGTGCGATCAACGATGTAAAAGTAGGACAAATGCACCTCTAATGAGACTACATTAGACTCCAAACTTAAAGTTCCCCAACGAGGTTTGCCCCAGTGCAAGGACAGAGAGGAAAGTCATGGGTTGTAGAGGCAAGTGTCCTGGCTTTGAGTCCCAGCTCTGCTGCTTCCTGACTCCCAGAGCCCTCTAAGTTCCCTCCAACCACGGCTTCCTCGTCGTGAAAGGCAGCCGTGATTTCCTCACCGGGGCCCCGTGAGGATGAGCTGAGTTAACAGGAAAGTGATATATTTGACAAATATTGAATCTTTTTTGGTAAAATTTTATTTATTCATTTGACAGAGAAAGAGACAGCCAGAGAGGGAACACAAGCAGGGGGGGTGGGAGAGGGAGAAGCAGGCTTCCCGCGGAGCAGGGAGCCCGATGCGGGGCTCGAAGCCAGGACCCTGGGACCATGACCTGAGCCGAAGGCAGACGCTTAACGACTGAGCCACCCAGGCGCCCCGAAAAATATTGATTCTATATCCCTCTGTGTTCTACGCCATGTTGTCAGTGCTGGGGGTACATTCATTAACCAGGCAGATGAAAATGTCTACCTTTATGGAGTTGGGAACAGTTGGAAAGGAAGACAATAAGCAGGACAAATAAGTACAATGAACAGGATTTTAAACGATGACGAGTGCTCTGGTGAAAAACAAAACACAACAAGAAAGGAGCATGATGTAGGGTTGGTGCATCGTAGATGAGAAGGACAGGTGCGACTCTCTCCGGGTTAAGACTTGAAATGGGGAGGAAGCGAGCCATGGCCCTATCCCGGGGAAAGAGGGTTCTAGGCGGAAGGCCGCAGCATTTGTGAAAGTTCTGGGGCTAGATCATGCCTGGAGAGTCCAGAGAACTTCAGGAGAGCCGACAAGCAGGGGAACATCTGAGGAGGGAGAAGGGAAACAGAGCATGTGGGTCCTCCAAGAAGGTTGCAAGAGCCTTGGCCGTACAAACGTTAGCTATTCATTATTATTGCCTGTAGGTAAATGTTCCAGTGTGCATAATGGCTCACATAAGAGCATTCTATAAACCCCTCAAAATTCTGTGCCCTTCTAAGAATGTTTTTAAAGATATCTTTCATTTCAACAAAATGGCAAGGCATCTAAGTGCAAAGGACAAAATTCTAGAATTCTCATGGCCAATCTGCTCCGTGGGTTCCTTTCTTGCGACAGCCACCCACTCTGCCTTGGAGCCCCACCCATGGGAGAGCAGAAAAAAGTCAACGCGGGTTTATTTTATTTCCTCTTCATTTCTACAATAGGAATCGCTTTTCTAAGCCGCCTGAGAATTTAAAGAACACCTACTTTTGTTGTGCTGTTGCTACACTAGTTTTGCCCTTACAAATTCCTAGAGACAATTCGTATTCATCCTGGAAACATGGAAATTGTATTTAGGTATAGCACTACTCTCTAATCACTGAGTAGATACAGGTTAATAATTTGTAAGATTTCGAACAGAAGTGCTGAAAACCCTTTTTACTATGTGTAAGTGCTTTCCATTTCAAATCTCACTTCATGCTATTTCAGCGGGACCCACCATTGTTACTGGTAGGGAACACCCTTTTCCAATACAACCACAAACAATAATATTTCCAACTCAGGCTTACTTTCCTCTCAGTTGAACCTAAAAGAAAGAAGGAGAGGACTTCCATTTCAGTAATAGTCGTTGCTAACCTACAAATCAAAGCAAATCATTTTTATAAGTGAAAATTTTCACTTACCAAAATGATTTTCAAACCCACTGTTCCTTCCGTTTTTAAAATATATTTTCCCCTATTAGAACATGTGTTAGGTCTTCTCTAAGTATAATAAAAGGAGGGCATGATATAATTGGAGCTGCTTCTTCTATTCTGTGTTTTGTCACCAAGGGTCCTCAATAAAATTCCCCAGAACCGGAAACATACAACTGTACGCTAGTTAAAAAATTCTTCCTTTACCTCGTGAACTCAGCAAGATTGTTTAGCTTATCCCCCCATTCCATGTATTTCGTGGGTTAAGAATAGACCCCTCCCACTGATATGCCCTCATTAGCATGTCTGTCTTCTGTCTGCCTATCTGTCTCTCACTCTGTGGACTCTCCCTCTCACTCTTTCACCCTCTCTGAAGACTGACTTTTCTGTGGCAAATGGTGATATGATCTCTGCTGACCTAAGGGAAAATGGCTCCCAGAGGTTTGTAGTAATAAGGTCCTAAACACAAGGCACATTCCTAGTTGGAAAGTCCCACTGTCCTCTGGTGACTTGTGGGGAACGTTCCTGTGTTGGGGCGAGAATATGTACTGAGAATCACTTCCTGATCTAGCACACACATTTTGGGGGTTCAGGACCCAGAGCACTGTTTAGTCCACATTCCCAGGAGAAGCCTCTCTCTCTCAAGCATGTTTCCACAGCCCAAATTTCACTTCCAGGGGGAGATGCCACCTTATTGTGTTCATTTCTTCACTTTTAGGACAAGGTTCAAATTTCCAAGTGACATGGGCAGACAGCTCCTGTTATCAGGGTCACATTTCTGAATCATCTCCCTGATTCCTTGGGGAAGAAAATTGATGAGAGCTAACCCTACTCCTGACTCCTTTTGTACTTCTTTGTTTTTCCATTCAATTTGTGGGAGGCTATGTAAGACTTTTAAAGACACCAGTGGCTTTTCCTCCTTTGAGCTGCTATGCCAGAAATCCTCAGAACAGAATATGTAACACTACATTATACACAAACTCTGGCCATGTCCTCAACTATCCAAAAGGTTCTTATGTCTTACCCTTGTTGTTCTATTATGAAAACCAATAAGTAAATACACAGATGTGAGTTTTGTCTTACTGGACTTTTGCAGACTGTGGGAAGTATCCCGCTTTTACATTTGGGAAATAATCTCCTTTCTTTGTGCATTTCTTTCAACTAAAATCCTGGTTTTGCTCTGGCAAGGTCCTCAAGTAAAATCCTGGTTTTGCTCTGGCAAGGTCCTCATTGGAAAAATAGAGAGGAAAAAAAATTTGGGCAGAAAAGTTGCAATTATAAATATCTCTTCAACTGCCCCTACCATGCTCCAATCAGCACACCAAGTATTTTTAGTTTACTGGGGGTGAAATGATGCTGTGTCAGGTGGAGCTTACTGCCAAGGGTGCAAGATAGACATTTAATCTGCCCCATGCATATCCCCAGCTCCCATCAGTACTTATGGTGAGCAGAGTTGCTGTAAAACGATGTTGGAGACTTTCTGAAAGCAAATCTGGGACTGACTTGTAATGATGTCTCCACAGTCCTACGGAGGCTATGTTTCATCCCTGGCCCTTGCTTCAGGAACCGGTCTTTTCAAATGTGGGATAGCAGTGGCTCCTGTCTCCAGCTGGGAATATTACGGTATGGAAACATTTCAAAACTGTGGCTGCGAAAACATTTAACACATAATTACTCTATATTTGAGGTTGCTAGGAAAACAAATTATACAGTAAAATTCACCCCAGCTTCACTGGGGAAAGCATAATCTAGAAGCGAGGTGGTTTATATGATGCATTGTAATCATGTTGCAACAATCAAAGAAATCTTAAGAGTGAGGGAGGACTCTTCCAAAACCCAATGTGTGTGATCCTTTCCCCGAAACCTGGTGCCTCCTGATACACCAAATCTTTAAAACCAGAGCCGAGACTGTGTTTTTGCAGGCACACGGGTGGCCTGTAAATACATCTTACACAAAGTCGGGCGGCGCCAAGCTATTCACCTCCAAGTCACAGTTTGCAGCCGCCAGGTCCATTGCTCCAGAAACCAGAGCCACAGAAAAATTTGTTAAGAAGTACACCTCCCGTGGGTGCCTATTTTTATGATACACATTAATGCAGGATGATTATTTGGAATTAACTCTAATAATTGCACAAAAATTAGCCTTCATCAGATCCTCGTCCCTGTGTTAGGGTAGAAATGAGACAACTATAACTCTCAGGCAATCTTTATTCAGAAAAAAAATGTGTGTGTGTGTGTGTGTGTGTGTGTGTGTGTGTGTGTTGGGAGACGAGGATCAGGGGCACATAGTTCCATCCCAGATTAATTAAGACACCAATAAAAGTACAAGAGGTGGCTGCATTTGTGATTTTTTTTTAAATACAATGAAGTCATTCCATAAGGTCTTCCCTAGCTAAACATTTCCCCCACCAAAGGGTGGAAGAGAAAAAGCTTAAGATCAGTCCTTTCTAATGTTAGCTGTGCCTGTCTCCTCCTTTGCTTCTCTAGCCCTGTTGAGGCAAATCGCAGAGCAAATGACTTGGGTGGAGCATTACAGTAAAGGCAAGCAGGAACGTTCCTCAGCAGCTCCACGGGGGAAGGGGACGAGCAGTTCTCAAACTGGGGAGTCTTGTTGGTTAATGGAATGACCCATATCACATGTAAACAACATATTCTCATATATTTTATAGCATCTATCTACACAGAGCGCTTCATGGGCCTCCCAACAAAGAACGATAACCTCAAGCACTATAAAGTAAGCGTTTTCTGTTTCATTTAGGTCATTGACTTCTTGCAAACACGCTAAATAATTTTGAAGCAGTCATTCAGAGTTTATACTTTTGCTGGCTCCCCAAGTAAATACGCTGATCTTTTGTTAGCTGCAAAACACCTCACTAGGAAGACATTTACTCTCTTAGGATTCTCTTCTTTCTTTCCTAATCCTCCCTTCCCTCACCTCCCTTTTCCCCATCCTCCGGCCCACCCCCAACCCCTACACAGCTTGAGCGGGCATCATTTATGCCTAAGGTCTCACTCATATGTAACATATGACACATAAACTTCCCGTTTTTCAAACGAAGAATCAGATGGAAGTAATGCAAATGATGATGAAAATGTGTTGCTCTGACTCTTAAATATTTATCAACCAAAGCAATACATAATTTCAGTATTGGTGCTAAGTCCATCGCACAATGATTTAGCTAGTTTTCTATTAGAACTTGCAGCAACTAAAATGTTAATTTTTCCTCTTTTCCAGAATTCAACTGTGATGGCAAGAGCAGAATATTTCAGAAATGTAGACTATCTTCTCATCCACGGAACAGCAGATGGTGAGGTTTAAGCAAGACTCTTACACATAAAAATACTGAGCCAACATCACTTTGTTTAAGAAACATTAAGCATCCTCCTATGCCTGTGCTCAGGGTCAGTACCTAAGAGTCAGGGACATTTCCACAAATGAGTGCGATGACTCACTGCTGACAATGTCAACCGCATGACTAGATAATTGTCGGTGTTCATTTGCAGGCAGTACATTGTCACTCGATGCTTTCTGGTATTTAGCAGCACTTTAACTCTCTCTCTTTGTTGCAGATAATGTGCACTTTCAAAACTCAGCACAGATTGCTAAAGCTCTGGTTAATGCACAAGTGGATTTCCAGGCAATGGTACATAATTTCGTTTTACTCCTGTTCACGGCCTTAGACCTGTAAGCTCAAAGGAGGAATCTGGTTTTTTCATTATTATTTTTTTTATTATTTATTTTTTTTTTTTACAAAAACCTGGCAAACAGGCTGTAGGGTAGAGTAGGCAGAACATTAGCAAGTAGGTCTTGGATCTTTCATGAACTCCCTGAAGGACACGAGGCGAGCCATGTCACCTCTGGGGATCCTGGTTGAGTTCTATCTGAAATAAAGGCATTCATGAGACTGATGATCTTCTAGCTCGAACATCCAATAGTTCTGTGATCCTGCTTATATAATGTAGCTGCATGCTTAGCGTCCCCACAAAAGCTGGGAGTCCCAAAGCAGCTAAAAGCTCCCGTGTATTCAGTAAGGAGCGATGGGGGAATGTTATCAGCGGCCACAGAGGCTCCCTGAAGTCGGGCGGCCCCACTCAGAGTTAGAGAACCCTTTCATCCGTGTGTTCTCAGTGCCTGACACAAGCCTGGCCCAGCACAGAAGCTGGAGTGTTCCCCAAGCGAATGAATGAATGAGCTAGCCAGAGAGTCCAGGTGGGTGGCACAAGGACTTGGAAGTGACAGCAGAAAGAAAAGGAAGGTGAAAACCACGACAAGAGGGACAACCCCTGACAGCAGTTTCCCCTCCTCAGGGAGCAGAAGTTTTCCCTCACTTGCTTTTCCTGAATGAGAACCTCGAAAAGGAAACCCCCATTTTTGGAAATTGGGCTTTTTAAAATAATTTGCAAAAGGGGATGGGAGATTTTTCTGATCTTTTTTTATCGTGACCCCCTCCAACGTAAATTCACCTTCTAAGTGTATAGCATTCCAGCATGACCACTATCCACCTTTATTCAGTGAAAACAAGAATCTCGCCAGCATTTCTCCAAGAATGGAGTTTAAATGTATAATGTCATCTTCCTGGGTGACTTTAATGATACTATGTTTAACTCCTATGAAAGGTGTTTACAGTTATATGTGTTGTGGATTTTCTGCAGCAGAGAGGAATTGGATTTCAGAGGCTACAAGCCTCATAGAATTTTTGAGCTAGCAGGAGCCTTAGAGAAAATCAAATCCAACCTCCTCATTTTTTCAAATGAGGAAACCAAGCTCCAGAGGAGCAAAGTAATAGACCCAGCACACCAGCTCTGGAGCACGTACCTGCCTCCTGACACCGCCCCCCCGCCCCAGGATGCTAGCCATTGTGAAAGCTCAGCCACCAAGATCTAAAATATAAGCTTAAAAAAATAAATAAATAAAAATAAAAAAATAAAATAAAATATAAGCTTAAAGAATGGGAAAGAATAGTCCAGGTTAATAAAAGGCCTTTTTTGTCTTCCTGTTCTAAATGTCTGCATGTGAGCTATCTTATTAAGTGCTCTGAAGTAGAATTTCAATCACAATATTAGCAAAATTGTCGGGACCTGCGAGCATTACAAAGTCTAAGCTGGGTGCCTTGTGCGGCTGTGAGAGTGACTCCGGCGTCTGCTCTCTGCTTTGCAGTGGTACTCGGACCAGAACCATGGCATATCCGGCCTGTCCACGAAGCACCTGTACACCCACATGACCCACTTCCTAAAGCAGTGTTTTTCTTTGTCCGACTAAAAAGGACGCAGACGCAAGCTTGTATCACAGTGGGAACACTTCGTATAAATGCCTCAGACCATTTGCTTGTTTTACTCTTTATGCTGTTAAATGCTGGTACAAACAAACAAATGAATGATGTTCTAAAGGCTGGCGGAAGATTGACTCAGAAGTTCAACCCAAATATTGTTTACATTTTCTGTCACTCTCTGAAAGAAAAGGGAACCGTGCCTTTTGCTTTGGACACAGACAGTGTTTTATTACCTGTTCATTTGAGGAAAATAATAAAATCAGAAGTTAAAGTGCTGTTATTTTGTCTGTGTGCATTTATTTCAACTTCCGGTTTTATCACAGAAAATAAAAGCTTGTGCTAGGCAAGCACATGAGTCACGTTAGGTGGGGATGGAGGAGAAGAATCTAGAAGAGTTCGAATTTTTGTAATTAGGATTCCAAATGCTGGAATGAATAGCTCAGAGTACGCAAAAGCATTGTTCAAAAATCAAGTTCGAGATGCATTTCGTAGAGGCGTCCTGATGTTTGCACTCTATGCTGGACCTCCAAGAAATGTTTATGAAATTTCTCCCAGATTTCTTCAATGTAGCCAAAAACATTCAACAAGGATAAAATCAGAATTTTGAATTCAGGCTCCTTTTAATAAATGCTTCAAATTTAGAAACATTCCTATTTTGTATCTCTTTCAAGAATTAGCAATGGTAACTGCCTTCAGCTTGCTAAGCCACACCAAACTAAGCAAGCAAAACAATCAAATAAAAAGGACATCCACAGCTAGAAAGGAAAAATGTTGTATCTATGAGATTTTTCTGGGGTTTGAGTTTGACATCACTGAGCTCATTTTGAAAAAGAAAAAAAAAAGCCATAATGCTTGCAACCCCGAAGGTGACACTCTGACAGTAAGGGTCCCCATCAGTTAGAAACTTATGGGCAGCTTCCATCTCTGTAACTGCCACAGAATTAAAAAGACCCACGTCACCAGAAGATATTTCTTAAATGAATGTTGGAAGTATCCATGAAGCCTCTCCCTAGGGAACTTTTCATTGATGTGTTTCCTGGCCCCAGGTGGCTCTGGATGATTTCTTCCCATCCCTAGCCTGATCCTTCCTAGTTGCAGCTAGAAGACCCTCGTGCCTTCTCTCATGCTCTACAGCCAGAAGAACCCATCCAGGCATGCAGTGTTATAGCAGGAAGGGGCCTCTAAGATCAGAGACCACAGCCTCCTCGAGAATTGTCAGACATTTCTCTGTCCAATGCTCTCTCCACTACCGCTTTCTGAACTCATGCCTCCCACTCACGCCACATGGCCCCACTGCACCTGTCAAGAAGGGGTGCTCTGTCAGGAAGTTTGGGCAGCACCCACACAGATTCAGGGCTGGCCATAGCACCTCCTCCCCACATCTATGCAACTGCCGATGTCCTGCGGGGCAGAGAGAAGCTATTCCTTTCCCATTTTGTTTTGCCTGGAGCAGCCTCAGAAGCAAGTCCAGAAGATGTCCTCATAATATTCTCATCCACTCTCTCCAGCTGGGGAGAGGAGAATGAGCAACAGTTCTTTCTTAATCCTCTATCAAGGGGTACAGCAGGGCAAGTGCAAATAATAAGAAAACCTTGTTCCTTCAACGTCTTTTCTGCCTTTGTAGAATTCTGCAAAGCTGTTGTTTAATATCAACATGCAATAAGAGGTCGCCAGCCTCACGCCTCTGGTTCCCACTGCTGCAGAGGTGACTTCTAAAAGACAAATCGAAATGTTCCCTTATTCCAGGTGAAAACCTCCAGTCTTCTCCACGGTCTACAAAATAATATTGTCGATGTTAGATGTAGAACATTCCCATCATCACAGACAGTGCTCCTGGATGGCTCTGTCCTAACAATCTTCACAGACCATATCTTGGAACATGGCATATGGTAGAAGCTCAGCGATTGATAAATGAGTGAATGTATCTGTGTTTGTGGAAGATTCATTTTTCTACATTACTGTTGCTAAAGCCTCCCCTGACCTCCTGAGGCAGAGTCATCCAGGTGCTCCTCAGACATTCAGCATGTGTTTATGTATTTATTCGTTCATTCAACGAGTATTTGTTGAGTCTGTCTGTATAGCAGACACTGTGCAAGACTTTAAGGATACAGTGAAGAGCAAGGCAGCAACTTGAGAGGCAGTTTTGGTTTTTTTTTTTTTTAATGTTTGCATTTTGTATCGCTTTACTAGATTCTTCTTTTGGCGTGGAGGATAAAAGATACATAAATTACAAAAGGGAAATATTTAATAGAAAAATGCCAAACCAAAAGGGATGACTAAAAACATCTGACCTTTTCTATTTGTAGGAAGCATATTGTAACAATAACTACCCTTTAACTGCATTTTATTCTTGCATATGAGATTTGGGGAGGAGGGTGTCCCAGCACCCTAATTAATCATGCTTCATTTATCACAAACTTGAGATTTTCATTTGTCCATTGGACAAATGTAAGCCACTGTTTTAGGTACTGGAGGTGACTTTCCACCTCCCCAAAATGCATGTATATTAAACAAAATACATATCTACAGGCAAAACTTGAAGTCTTGCATAGGTGAAAAATGAATGTAACTACAATGCAAATTCAAATGACACCAGTCATATAGGGGTGGGATTCTAATATGGGTAAGAGGGAAACCGTGAAAAATGTTATCATCTCAAAATAATCTCCAATGTTAGTCCTGTAATGCTAACCTTGGAGCTATTTTAAGTGGTTTCAAAATTCTAAGTGACCATCTCCTATATCCTAACGTGAATAAGAAAGAAGTAGTAAGAAAATGGGTATTTTGTGAAATTTAACATAAATGAAGGAACTTGTATTGAGGCTTTAAAAAAAAATTTAAGTCTGCCCCAAAGCCTAAAATGTATGAATTATTTCCTTCAAGAAACATTTTCTGAATACCTATACTGCGCCTGGCAGTACTCTGGGTCCTGCGGGAGACAAGAGTCTTACAAAGATGAATGTATGTACAATTTCTCCATTTCTAGACTGTTTCAGTAAAGGCGACTTAACGAATCTGATTTTCCCAACATTTGAGCATTTTTCAGAAACTGACAGATCTTTATGCAAATGTTGTTGCCAAGCTGTTTGTAATGGTGAAATTATACTTTGACAGTAACTCTTTAAAATATATTAAACCCAGCTAAGGTTTTTTTGGAAATGTTGCCAATTAAGTGACTTTAATGAGCTTCTTGATGGTAATGTAATTAAAATTCAGATGTTCTAATTGTAAAAAAAAAAAATTACAGTTCTGGGAAAGTTAACAGTAAAATAAGCAAATGTAAAATGAATTAGGACTAATTTAAATGGTGATTATGTGGTCTTCTGAGAAGATTTTACCAAAACAATGTTTTCAATTATGCTATTTGTAAAGAAGAAAGAAGACACCTAACAGATATTTTAAATTTATCCAATAAAGCAGATATTTTGAGTTTATCCAATAAAACAGATTTAAAAATTCTGAACTTGGTGAATCATTCTCAGCTTGTGAGAGAACTGCTAAAACAACTCCCTTGGCATTATGGACAGGTACCTTGGCAATTTGAAGTGGAATGATTTCTAACTCAGGGAAACATAAGTGCTTGGACCTTACCAGGCTATTCATGGGGAAAACGATCTGGCTTCTAGCAAAATCTCTAATGACCACCTGCTCAGAATAGTGGCATGTAATACTAACATGCCGGTCATAAACTCTTCTTTTTGACACACAGGTAATATCTTTGGCAGGCTAGCACAGTATAATTTCACTCTCTTGGCCTCTAATTAATATTCCATTACTTACTCGACTTATTTAAAAAAAATCACTTTGACAGAATGTGTTTTAACAAATATTTGTTGGTACAGCATTAGATCGCTCACACTGTGGTTATACAGAATCTATATCCTGTGAATAAGAGAGAGCAAAAATGAACCAAAGGGCATGACGCCATGGTTTGACAACTCATCTCCCTTCTTTCTTAAGTACTGTCCATTGGCAAGCAAAAACAGGAGCATCTTTGCCAGCCATTAATTATTGGGGGCAGGAATTTTTCTCACTGTTCCAGGGGCTGAAGTTTTGAGATATATGTCTTTTTTTTTTTAGATTTTATTTATTTATTTGAGAGAGAGAGAATGAGAGATAGAGAGCACGAGAGGGAAGAGGGTCAGAGGGAGAAGCAGACTCCCCGCCGAGCAGGGAGCCCGATGCAGGACTCGATCCCGGGACTCCAGGATCATGACCTGAGCCGAAGGCAGTCACCCAACCAACTGAGCCACCCAGGCACCCCCGAGACATATGTCTTAATGAAACATTTAAGATGGTAGAAAAATCATTCATATGTTAAGAACTACCATCCATTCACACATATTGTTTGTTATTGAGACATCCTTTCCAATATTCATGGACATAATAGAAATATTAAAGATGTCATAAAATGTGTTTATATCACACCAGCACTAAGCTGAATTTCTGGCTTTGAGAAATGATAAAAAGTAATGATGCTTTAATATATACAAGCATGTTGTATAAACAAAAGAAACAATGCTACTGTCTGAAGACTGAAGTAATATTTTGCAATATTACAAATTCCTTCCTATCGAATAAAAGACAAGATAGTTCATAGGTCAATTCTTTTAAATATAATATGTTCATTGTTACTCATTTTGGGAGATAGTGGGCTTTGATAGGTAAGGGCACAGATCCAAAAGTACACTCCTTGGTTTGAATCCCAACTCAGGAACATATTAGCTGTGTAATGTTGCTCAGCCATTATAAGTTCTTCCTGCTTGAGCTTCCTTATATATGAAGCTGAGGATAATAATAATAGGCCCTATCCCATAGGGTTGTTTGGAGTTCTAAATTAGTTGCTATTCATAGAGCTAACAGTGTCTGACATATAGTAAGCATTTTCTTAAGAGTTTGCTAGATACATAAGGTAAACCCCTTTTTGGCATTTTTATTCATTTTCAAGGAATTAATAGTCTGATGTTTATTGCAGCATTATTGATAATAGCCAAATTATAGAAGCAGCCCAAGTATTCACTGATAAATAAATGGATAAAGAAGATGTGGTATGTGTAATGGAATATTACTCATCCATAAAAGAAGAATGAAATTTTGCCATTTGCAACAACATGGATGGATCTAAAGGGGATAGTCCTAAGTGAAGTAAGTCAGTCGGAGAAAGACAAATACCATATGATTTCACTCATATGTGGAATTTAAGAAACAAAACAAAGGAATAAAGGAAAAAGAGATGAACCAAAAAACAGACTCTTAACTATAGAGAACACACTG